AAAAATTCCTTCACAAATTGAAGCCCATTTCTTTATTATGTTACCATCTGGGGGTCCTCAGCATGAAAACATTTGAGACCCCCTGAAAGAGAGGATGATTTAGCATCTAAATAACCCTGCAGTGAGTTCTGATTCTCCCTGCCAACATGTGATATAATAAGCCTTTTTAATAAGGCCGAGAACGAGAATTAACAGTAGTGCAGATGGTCTGGCTCCCATTAACAGACAGTGTGTGTGTGTGTGTGTGTGTGTGTGTGTGTGTGTGTGTGTGTGTGTGTGTGTGAACAAAGTGGTATGGATGTGTCTGCTTGTGTGTGTGTCTTTGCATCAGTGAGCAGAAATGGGTGTCCTTGCTGACAAGACCACTTTACTCAGTGCGTGTGTGTGTGTGTGTGTGTGTGTGTGTGTGTGGGGGGGGGGGGGGTGAATGAATGACTGGATTAATAAATTACTTATTCCTATGTGCTACGGATGAACATTAATGGACATGGGTGTGTTTCAACCATTTAATGCATAACAAGGTGTGACAGTGTGAAGACATCCACTTGCCAAATCAACTTCCTGCCACACTAGGTAATCAAACAAATGAGGAAGTGCTTCCTCCAATCAATCATCCTGCTGAGAGTCATTAGAGGTTTTTAGTTGATTACAGCTGTCATAAAGAACGATGGGAGTCTGCAGGGTTGAGCGGGTGTTATTGACTGTGACAATCAAAGATGAGGGGCTGGGGAGGGTGCAGAGAGGGGCTAACTCTTAAGTGCCTTTTAGTTTCTGAACTGACACACTAAGCAGAAACTGAAAGAAGAAAGAGCAACTGATTAACGGACTTCTTTGAGATGATCCTTTGTTTTTGGTGACTTCCAGAATACGAGTTTCTAAATTGGAGACTTTCTCAAGTATTGCAGACATCCTGGAAACATACAGAGACAGACAGAGGTTCATAACAGCACCGGGTTAATAATGAGGACAGAGAGGAGTTGTGGGGAAACTAGGGCTAATCTATAACTGTAAGATGGACAGTAAAGTCAAAAAGGTAAAATACCAGTCAATATACATTAAATGCCATTTTTATGCACTTACAATGAATTACAAATGCTGTGACAACTACTGCAGTGATGTTTTGGAGAAGAATCAACCACATTGTTCAGTTAGTTGAGCATATGGTGTATAAACTAAATTTAAGTGGTGACTCGGATTCTGTAGAGTTAGCCGTGTTATTCCCCTACCTGAAGAGACAATTTCTCCAGCTGTCTTTTTGTACCGTTATCTTTGTGAAGCCAGGACTGCATTGTAGACGTCCAGATATTTTAATACTTCCCCTGTAGATTTCTCTCTTTATCTACAGCAACAGCTACAAGACCAAAGATTAGGGCATGCCATCACAAGACCGGAGAAGAAGTCAAGGTTCAGCAGCCCAGGATGTGCGAGTCAAAGAAAATCTCCTTATTTGGAGCCAAAACTGTTAATTTCCCAAACTAATTATGTGAGGTTCTTACACACAGAGCATAAGGTATATACATACTCAGTGTTCCTCACATGTGCTGTTGGATTATTATGATCCTGAAGGAAGAGAGGTGATGAAAAGCAGAATGGATGAGGCGGTGCAGTGAAGCAGCAAATTAAAACACACTGAGACCTTGACAGCCATTATATTCAGTGGCTGGAGGGAAACATCTGCTTCAGTGGATACAATGTCCAATCCACCGTAGCCAGGGGCTTTAAAACGTACTGTATGCATGAAGGTATCAGGTGATATCTCAGTTGGTGACTTCAACATTTTCCAACTAAGGATCAATGGCTGTTGGGCATATACGAAACTTAATATGAAAGTTTTTCCAACATGCCTGCACCATTTATTTTACTACCTTGTAGTTGTGTCTCAGCACGTCTACTTTAAACTATGTGCCTTCTGCTTTTTATGCAGTGGGTGCTACCAAATGGGGTACCTGGTGGGGATATTACATCATACGAAAAATACAGTTTACCTTGATTATGTGTTGAGGTTAACTGGTGGCCAAATGAAAAAACTGAAACCAACTAGTAGCCACAGCTAAAACCTGACCTGACCGAAACACATCCTGGAGCTACTACTACAATAAATGCTAATATGAGTTCCCTCTACTGGAGGGGTTTTACTGTAAAGAAGCAATGAAGAAGTGACTGAACAAGGCTAGTTGGTGAACTACTGAAGCTGATGTGCTAAACACCCAAACACACCATGCTAGTCAGTCACAATGTGCCGTTTATTCCCCCTGACCGTTTGCTGTCTGAATTGTGCATCTTTCATTCAATAAAGTGGGTAAAAGCTCCCTTGCTAACTAACTCTCAGGCTCTCTGCAGCATTGTGCAAATTTGAGTCACAAAGTTCACCAAAGTTGAAAGATTTACATTAACTTACTTCTCCCCCACAAGCAAATCCACTGATCACCGCAATTCCATTAAAATTGTACTGTTTTAAATTCTGTGTGTGTGGGTCTTTAGATGGAGAGAAAATAACTCAATAAAAGCCCATTTCCTTAATAAGTCCTTCAGATACCATCAAAATTCAGTCAGCAGTGTCTGAGATATCGCTAATGACGAACAGGATATTGGTAATATCCTGGAAGGGCCAGAAAAAGGAGGACATGCAACAATCCCAAACTTCAAACAACTCAGCTAGATAGTGACGAATGGATGATATAATCACAGCCCCACAATCATCTACCCCCACAAAAAAAGAGCCAAGGAACAAAGCCTGGAGGATGACAGAGCAGTGGCTGTTGAAAGTTGACTTGTCGCTGAAGTAGTGACAAAGTAGGCCCTCAGTGTCAGGTCCAGTGTAGCAGATAAGAGTCTGGCAAGGAGCTGCACAGCTCTCCACACTCATAAGCAAGTAGCTTATCACAAGGAGCTGGATGAGCTGGCAATAAGGAACGAGGCCTGGCAGCTGCAAACACAAACACACAGCTCTACTACATTCTGCATTTACACTGCTGCTTTGGTTTTTTTATGATGCTGTTATAAACAATGACGCTGTAGGAAAGACATGAGAAGAGAAAATATGAGAACAGACATAGGGGAGGGGTGGGGTTTGCATATTTTAGGAAGTCCTGACTAACACCTGAGCTGTTGTCACCAGCAGCGTGCAGCCAGGATGGAGGAAAAACAAACAACTCACTGAAACTGGGACAGTTTCACATCACCAGGCCTGTGTGGGGAAACGCCCACCTTCTGGCTCATGTATCCACCCGACCAAACAACAATCAATCACTTAAGGGGAAGCATGGTGTTAATAATGCAGTCATGTACTTGTCCTCATACAGGAAAATCCTGGAAGAGGTGATGGGATCATTTCTCTCCTATAGCAGGACAGCCCCAAAGTGCATTATCACAGTAACACCAGGACCAACCGGAAAAGTGAAAAACCACCATTTAGGATTTAAACACAACTATTTTACTCCTGTGTTGACAGAAATGTCTAATAAACTTCTACAAAATCAAGAAACTTAATAACTTTTTTTTATAGATTTTGTTGACTACTCCTCAACTGCATTAGATTATGCTATGTTGCTGTGATTACTTGCAGTTTAATCCAGGTGACACTGCCATAATATTGATATAGAACAAGTTAACTGGAAAGTATCTGACACAGGAAGAATTTTAAAAAAAGCAGATAACAAGCTTTGTGACCAAAGACAGACATTTTGTGGATATTTGCACTCGCAGATCAAATGACACAGAATGAGAAAATCAGAGAGCGTTTACTTTCAGACAAAGCTGAACTGGTTGTCTACATTACCAAAACCAGCTCGACTACTTTGACCTTTCTCCTGCCATTTAAATGGCACACAGAATGACCAAGGAAGGAAGGAACTCCATTGTTGAGTGGGGCTGCGTTCAGAGAATATACAGGCTGAAACTGTATATGCTCACTTTAAGATAACCTTTAAAAAACACATCATACCGAGTCGGTGTCATTGTGTGAAGCATCGCTCTGAAATCAGTACTTGTGAAAGTAAAGTGATGGTGAGACCAAAACTTGTAGTGTCATTTAGTGAATGTGAAGCACAATCTTATTTTCAGTTAGATCAATGACCAGAAAACCTACATATTGGAGGCAGTGTGATAGCACTGGGGGAGACTGAATGCAGTATCTTTATGACTATTTATACTATTTCATTTTAGCGGAATCTTTGATATTGTGGTTATATTGTGGTAGAAAGACAAGAAAGGGAAGCATGTAAAGAGCTGCACCCTGGCTCTTTGACGGTGGACTACAGGTAGAGTTTACCTAACCTAAAATGGAGAAAGGAATGTCAAACAGACTCACAAACACCCAAATCACATGTGAAATCTGTACAAAAGCTGCTACAAATCTGTCCCAGACAACCATCACATAACACAAATAAGCTTCCGAAGCAATCGTGGTGCTTGATGACTATTTGTGTTTGCCATGGAGACTGTGGCAGGATTGATATTTATGACATATTGGTCTTCTAGGTCAAAAGTCCACAAACTGTACAAGTACTACTGTGTAACTTGAACACAACTCATACTGCAATCCCCTCCTGTCTGCACACACACAAAAAAAAGGTCTACACCCAGTGGCAGCACAACACAGACCCGGTTTCTATTTTCTCACTGGCTTTTGTTCAGCAGCAGACTGAGCTAATGATTTCAGGAACAAACACCCCCACTGACCAGGCTCACGAGTAATCAGCTGCCCCCATCTCACTGAGGCTTTTCTGGCTGCATTTGTCTGCACCTCAGTAGCTTTAGGCCTGGAAGTGACAGACCACTCCCCTGTTCAACCAAACTTTCTGAAGAGATCACATCACCTAAACATGTCAAACAGATTTAAAAAAAAAGGCAAGAAGTGAAGAAGACTAAGCTTAGTTTAAATAAACTAAACAGGAAAAACAGGCAGAGCCACCTGCTGAAAACCTTCCAGTGTCACATACCGACACAAAATGACTGATTTGAATTATACCTGCTGTAAATGATTCAATGCGTGTCTTTACCTGGAGATGTTCGGTTGAACTGCTGCTCAGTTCGTCTCCTGACTCCGAGTCGTTGGTGCGTCTCTCTTCGCCCGCAGAGTCACAGTGTTGGGTGCTGTCCACGTCCAGCGGGGCTCTGACCAGCTCAGGGGATCGAGCTCGGGAGCGGGGTAGAGTGCTGGACCTTCCTTTGTGGTCGGGCTGGGGGCCGCCACCCTGGACGAGGATGTCGGCAAAAGCTCGCTCGTGGTCGGTGGGAGTGGTAGGGGGGTGATGGTGGTTGCTGTCCCGGCGCTGACTGGGCGGACTGAAGTGCCCAGAAGAGGCAGTTTGTGCGGAGGGAGAGCGCCGATAGTTGGACTCTTTTCTGTGGAGGTTCTCAGTGGACCTGCCGTGGGGACTCAGCTCCAGACTGGTTGGCTTTACCCAAAGAGCACCGCTGCTGTGTGGAGGTGTGTTGCCAGTGGCAGCAGGAGGATGTGGGAGAGGTTTAGGAGGTGGCATCAGGGCTTTGCGGACTTCGCGGACATACTGGGCAGGTACGTAGAAAGCTTTAGTCCCCTCTTCCTTCCGAACCTGCCACCAGTCCTCGTTGGTTTTCTTGACCAGCATGTAGCATTCTCCCTGGCGGATGGCGATGAAGCGGTCCTTGGCCTTGTATTCATAGTCGTACTCCACCTCGATGTAGACCTGGCCTGGGGCAATAGGCAGCTCCGCCATGATGCCTCCGACTGTCCTCGAGGCAGCAGCTCACCGCAAGAGACAGATGTTTATTAGCATGGCTTCCTGAGCAGAGCTGGGGGGGACAACAAGGACATAAAGTAAGTATTCAATACATTTCCATTTTGATGTTTTTTATTGTCATTTTATGTCCCACAATCATGATTTAATCAATAATATATAGCCTCAAAGCCCTTGAGGACACATTCCTGTCTCTCTATTCCCACATTTGTATGTATACACCGTATGTTCCTCTGAAAGTTTCCCATCAGTATCTGCTTCAATATCACGCTAAGAAACATAACAGTATCAAGTTCTGTGAACATTTCATCTACTTTTCATTTGTTAAACATGTTTTACACTGAAATAAATTCCTTAGGAAGTACATTATAACCACTGGGGGAAAATCCTTCAGCACAGAGAAAGCTGTGTGTGGTAGTTGGCATCAGCAGTGATAGTGACAGTGATAATCAGCAGTTAAAAATCCAAGGAAAAATGCGATACAACAATTGAAAAATAATGAGTAGGGCTGTGTATTGCCAAAAATGTGTCGATACCATAAATAAGCAAGTCGACTCCTTCCTGTCCACCACAATAGGAATAAAATCAGAGTAAGTCTGAGTGGTTTGATTCCAACCTGTGGCCCTTTTCTGCATGTCACCCCCCCTTCCTTTCTATCAAGCTGTCGCAGTCAAAATAAAAAGCATAAAAAGCCTGAAAAAGTTTACTTTTTACTGACTTTTTTACTTTATTTTTTGGTATGCTACACCCCATAAAAAACTACAAAAAGTATAGTTACAGTTTCCCACCTGAACCAAGCCTTAGTGATATATTTCTAAGTCAGAAAATGTTTCTTCTTCTTACATAACCCATACAACAACAAAGGCACAATCTTTGTCTTTTAAAGCCTAATACTCACCTAACGCAATCAGAACAAGAGAATGAGATACAAAGTGAAGAGCTTTAATCCCTGTGTGCACAGCTTCAGAGCAGACAGAAGGGGGGGAGACAGTAATGTGACTCACATGGTCTTCTTCCACTACTGTATCTGTTTATCTGTTTTTGTGTGTCTTACTCCGTCTTTCTCCCCCTCTGTTCCTCTGTTCGCTAATGGCAGCCAGTCAAGCAGCAACTGAGGCATGTTGAGCGCTGAGATTAGTTGAATCACACACATAGTTTTCTGCTGAAGTCACATGTACACACACACAGACACACACACACACACACACACACACACACACACAGTCTCTGACAACATGAGGTGAGGCTCCAGCACACCTTGAGCAACCTGAGCCTTCAGGTGTTTCCTTTAAAGTACTTTTAAAAATGTTCATAACTCAACTAATGGTGACAACAACAGGAAAGTAATGGAACCAAACCGGAGTTTAAAAGCAACGTCTTATCTGTTGTGAACTTTAAGGACAAACTTCAGTCCAATAATAATATTAAGAAAGAAAGAAATCAGAGGCCAAAGCTAAGAAAACCTTTACTGTCATCTGGACAGTAAATGTGGGTTAGCGCTGCTGTTATCCAATATCACTATGCCATCTCTGTGTAACCTTTACCAGTTGTGCGTTAGCTTAATAAAAGATCTGTGATTAGGTGAGATTAGGCCTCCTGGATTACTGCTGATACAGTGACCGCCGGGATAATATCACCACGGATTAGCTCGCTGCTTCAGGCTAACAGGCACTGAGGGAAATCTCTCTCCAACAACAGCGTCCATTAGCCAAATTACACCAAACACTGACTGATGCCAATTCACAGCAACAATACAGAGTGCAGAGGAGTAGTGACGCATTAGTCTGTCAGCTCTTCAACCTGTGACCTCCTAATTCAGCTGGTTGGCCCGACGGGAAGAAAAACACGTCTCTTCTCTTTCAATCTAATCCTGGTGTTGAAGATTTGCGGACTGAGGCCGAGGAACCTGTTTTTTACTCATAAATAAGCAATTTTCCAGGGATCAATCAAAATCAGTCAGGATTTTTTTTACCCATAAGCGAGAAGGGTTTTCACTCACATCCTCCACAGTAGGTGTGAGATTTTATCTGTGCACGGACTGAACGCTCTATTACACAATCTGTCACCGCGATGCTCTTCATATAAAACTGTGGTATGTCCAGAGTCTTATCTTTCCTGTACTTTCCCCCAATTCTAATAACTGAGAGCAAACAACGGGGCCGGACTTTCTCTACCTGCTCACCAGCGAATATCACTCTTCAGAGTATCACTTTGGTTGGAAATTTTGGGACTTTAGTCACTGCAGCAGTTAGACAAAAGTCAATTTCCTGCCCCCCCTTGTGCAACGTTTCCCCTGGTTGTTTTTCTCTTCACTCCTCGTCAATATCCTGCCACAATATCCTGTTTTTAGGTAAACAACCAACCGGATAGCTGTTGATTTTAACAGTCCAACCACAATGGCCTGTAGTTAGATGTGATTATAAACTCAATTTATTTAGATTTCCAACTGTTAGTCAGAAAGAACCACAATTTAAAGATGGTACCATGGTCGCGTCAGCCATTTTCCACTATTTTCTGACAATTTTATAGACCAAATGATTCATAAATTGAGAAAATAAATTGAAAATGAATGTAAAATAATTGTTAAACGTCACATATTTTTAACAATCCTGTCCCTCTACCGTCTCTTTCCACATAATATCCTTACATTAATGTTAATTTAATGAAATGAATGGTCTATGTCGTTAAGCTGGGTAAGTCCACAAACAACACTCATATTAATTAAGACTTTTTGGTTACTCTCGTTCTTCACATTGAAAAGCATTTTGAAGGGTTAAGCCCGGGGGGGGGTTGTCTCTTTCACTTATCTCTGCTTAGATTAAGCTCCAGCATCAGCACCGCTATTTAGTAGACAGCACAAATCTTCTCAGAGTCCAATCAGCAAAATCAGAGGAAGAACCCTAATTTGATGTGAAGGTAATAAGATTTACACCGGGGCCGTGGAGGTTGGACCGGGAGGGCGGCTCCTGAAAGAATAACGCCACACAGAGCCGCAGGACATGATGGAAGGGGGCTCGGCTGGAGAGTATAAAACGATGGTAAAGGTAGCGGAGATGTGTGTGTGTGTGTGTGTGTGTGTGTGTGTGTGTGTGGGACCGATGTGATACGTGATGGGAAAATCTGTCGTCGTCAGCGTATGTTGGTAACACACCCTCCCATTTTCTCCCACCTCAGCGAAACAGAAAGCAGCTCCACAGAAAAGGGTTTTCGCAACGTTTCCACAGAGACAGTTGAGGCCTGGGGGAGTCGAACGCTCTGCATCGGGTCTCACATGACACTTGTTAGCAGAGTTCTGTTTCTATCGAGGGGCCGGACCGCCATTGATTAGTCAGTGAGTGAGTTATTTTCATCAGAGAGAGAGAGAGAGAGAGAGAGAGGTGCATTTCTCTCCCATTATTGAGTTATTTAAAGAGAAGGGAAAGGGGGTTGAAGACATGATTATCAGGCTGACTAAGCTTCATTTTAACAGTTCACTTACAGGAACTTTTCGGGGGGAAAAAAGCAGATTTTACTCAAACATTTCTACAAAACACATATATAATCTCTTAGAAAACTGCTGACATCTAGATTGGTGTTTCTGGAAAGACAAGAATTTAATTTAAATTTGCTAACGTTTGAGAAGTAAAAGCACCACTCACCGCTCCTATAATGGGGTGGCAGCAGATGTTTTAGAAACAGAGGCCTCTAAATCAGCATGGCTCAATAATATCACAATGTGTCAGTTAGAGACTGTGTTTGTTCTGTGGGATTCTGGTCCCACTTCAGTAACTAGGTGAGCCAGTGAAGAAACTGCACTGTGACCTTCAGACGTAGTCACACCAGATGTAGGCCCACGTCCCCCCCCCTTAAACAGCTTGAAATCAGCACAGGCTGTCCCAGTTAGACACCTCTCACCACGACTTTCCTCACAACTCAACTCCCCGAGGTCGCCCCCTGCAACTGTCACACTGTGGACGGCCCACATCCCGCTGCAGCTCACTTAATGTGGGCATCTTGAGAGAGGGTAGCGAAATGAGAGTACACAACAAAAAGGGAAACACACGGAGGAAGACGTGTCTGAGAGGCAGTTAGGTCACCCACAGTGGGAATGAGAGCAGGCGGTGCAGAGTGGCACTTGTCAAATTAAACTGAACCTGAACTCATCACCACATCAGCGACCTATAATAGAGCAAATCTTTCTTCTCACACTCACCAGGTGGAAGCTGCTTCACAACCACAAAGGGGGGAAAAAGATAAAGAGTGTATCCGTTAACATTTTTCAGATTAATATTTAGAGTTGGAACTATCAATTAATATATTGATTTAGCTTTTGATGACTGAACTAATTGTTAAGGGTGACAGAAAAGCAAAAAATACTGTTTTCCAAAGCACATTCACCATCAAGCTGCTTAATTTGTCCAACGTAAAGCCCAAAACAAACACAAAACAGCAGCAAATCCTCACATATATGTTAATTATTTGTGTTTTTGCCTGATAAATAACTTCAACTATCATTAAACTAGTTCAGTGGATCAAATTTCTGTCACCTGATACACATCGCTGTAGTTATAAAAGCTAAGTAACTGCAAAGAAATGCACCACTATGCTGTTCTCCACTTTAAAACATTATCAACTGAATACCTTGATTTAGAAAGCATTTTATCATTGTGGTTATTGTTATAGGATAAATGAAATCAATCAGTGAGCTCTACTATGATTTATCCATACTACTTTATCTCCAAGCCCAGATTCTCACATTCATCCTGACAGTCAGATAAAAGGTAAACAGGTAAACAGGTAAACAGACCTATCAGCTGCTTTATGGCTGCACCCTGACAGCTTCATGTTACTGCTGACAGCCAGTGAACACAACATTTAACTCTAACATATCTTACATGAGCTGGATGCTTAAAAAAAAAAAGTAACTTTAAGTCCCCAGAGAGAATAAATACACCTGTCTACCTCAGCTACTATTCCTAAAAGGCATTAACTTTGATTTAACTTTTAATTATCTGGTTTTAAAAAAGGTGTAAAACTCTTCTTACCTTTACTTTAATATCCACGTTTAATAAATAACCTCAACATGGAGTCACAGCTCTGGTCTGTGCGCCTTGTCTTGCTTTACAGGAGCTAATCTGTCCGCTAACGTCAGCTAGCCAATTAGCTTTCAGGCTAAACATTCCTCAGAGTCCCAAAACACCCCCCCCCGCCCCCCCCGGACCTACCTCCTCCACTCGGAGACAACAGCAGACACTCTCCACTACTACTCAAACTGAACGAGGGTTAAAAGTCCCGTAAACTTTTTTCGAGCGACCACCGTGTGAAACTACTTCTTCCCCTCGTCCGGCAGCGGCGCTCCCGTCTCTCCTGTTGTTCCCCCGGCCGGTGTAATCCACAGCGGCGCTCGCTCCCGCGGACCTCACCGCCTCTCTCTCTCTCTCAACTTCTGGCGACTACCTTCAGAGCGGAGATCGTCTCCAAGGGCGATGTGTCACTCTGAAGCTGTTGGCGTTACCATGGTGACCGCTCGTACTACGACGGTACGTTAGGGCCATAACTAAATCAATGATAAATACAATATATGTTATATATGAATATATATTAAAGTCATAATTTTACGAGATTAATGAAATAATATTAAGTCTACGAGAATAAAGTCGTAATAATGTACAAAAGAAGCACTTTCGTCCGAGTCCGTGTGGTTCTTTCAGTCGTTTCAAAGTCCTGACACTGATAATAATTTGAGTATTTCCTTATTATAACTTCATAAAATGCTTCTCATAAAATTACTACATTATTCTCCTAAAATTATGACTTTATTCTCACAATATTATGACTTTATTCTCGTAATTTCCCCCCCAAAAAAAAATATATATTTTATTTAAATTATAATACTCCGTCGGTATTTTAAGCAACAACAAAACTTGTATTATTTGACAGTTAACACAAGCGTTTGGAGGTGTTTATAGCACTACCTGTGGACGGTTGGCTGTGTTTTGTTAGCATCAACTCATTAAAAAGGGGGATTCATGTTTGGAGCAGTAAATACACTCAAGAGTGAGAGCTCCTGTTTAATTTATACTCTGTGGTCCAGAGGACTCAGGTGTTCGGGCCGCGAACGGGGAATCAGCGCCACCTGACGGGTCTACAATAGAACTACAAATACAATGCCGGACGAACGTAAACTGATGTGCACCTGTCCGGTTTAAAGGTGCGGAAGATTAGTTTCATTTGGCGCAGACAGTAAACAATTATGGGATCACAACAACATCTTTAAAAATGCAACACACGTAAAAAAAAAAAAAAACATTACTTTTTGCGTAGGGAACGCTATGTGACGGAATCACGTTGTAACGTAAGGAGCGGTGAGGTCACAAACGGGGCTGCTTCCACCTGTGGTTGCCTGGTAACAAAACGCAGATCTCCAAAATCATCTCTTGATAAATACTGCATCAAAATAAACAATTTAAAAACATCTAAAATACTGTACTTACATCCCTTAAAGACAATTACAGAACAAATTAATACACAATTTTAATGACCATTTCAGGGGCAATCAACATTATATGGCCAAAAATAAGTGGACACCCGATCATTACACCCTTATTGAACTCCTGAACATCTTGCTACAGCCTTCACTCCTCTCTAACACAGTTCAGGACCTTGTTTGTGCAGATAACAGTCGCGTTATATTGAAACCACAAAGACCCACATTCAAACTATTGCCCCGTTAGAAGGACAATATTGAGTAAAATCTAACTTTATAGTGTTAAAATGTAATTTAATTGGAACTAAGGAGCCTATCCCAAACATGAAAAGCAGTCCCAGATCAAAAGAAAACATTATGGGCTTCCTTCAAGATAACCAGTATCAGTGATTTCAGAAACTCCAACATGAAATGACTCATTAAAAGCATTTGTTTGCATCACTCTTGCAAAAAAAAAAAAACACTTAAACCAGACACAAAAGAGCACAGACATGCAACACGTGTTTTTCTCATAATTATTTAATCACACATACATTTACATCATGCAATCAATCCAAAACTGTGATCTCATGAACTTCCCATCTCCGTCCATATCAGAGCCCTGCTATTTGTGCCCCAGTTCTCCAGGAATGATCCAGTACCTTGTCCACTGATGGATCCTCAAAACTGTCCTTTAAAAATTGACCAACTATTACACAGTAATAAAAAAAGTGGCTACACTTTGTTTTTTTAATTTAGAATTAATGCAAAATTCAATTTAGGTAAACACCACAAATATTCTTTGCCGTTTTTATCTACTATTGTTTTTTTTTTTTGTTTTGTTTTTCCCCATTTCATATCCAGTTTTGGTGGTAGGTCAAAGGATAAACATTTTGAGGTCCATGCTGCAAAGTCTTAACTAATCTAAAAGATTACACAGAGGGAATAAACCATCTCGATAGACACCAAACACTGTCCTGTCATAGATATGGGGGGGGGGAGCGACTCCTCCTGCAGCTTGTAAAAAGTCATTAATACTACTTATAGATTATTTGCTGTCAACAAACAGTTCCACGTACAGGGCTTTGGAAACTTCTTCCTCCAGTCAGAAACAGCCTCGTATGGAGTGTTTTTTATGAGTGCAGGTATTGTGAAGAAGGGCTATAAAAACCCAACCTTCCTGTGACAAGATGGCAGGTTTTATAGCGCGACATCTTACGAAAGAAAGCCGAAATTCCTACCCCACCCCCTTTTTTTTTTTTTTTTTAAACCAGCTAGATTTGTTCCACTAGCCTCAGCCCAAAAAAGGAAGTGTTTCTCAAAAGCTGAAGCTAATTTAAAGTATCTACTACCGCACTGGTTGGTGAAGTCTGATCATCTCGTCGTCTGCAGGGAGTTTACTGTCCAGCGCGGTAGTAGATACAGTCCAGAAAAACCCGCTGTATCGTGTTCCAGGGCAACGAAAGAAGCACTCAATACACTGAGAACCAAACGATAGCGGAACAGAAGTTAACAAAGGAAGAGAGGGGGGCAGAACTTGGACTCCATGTGGCAGGATTACCGCTGCAAGCACACCCTGATCACACCCGCCAGTCGACTGATGTACAGTGTATTTTACAGTATATTGCACTTGCACAAGATGTTAGTGTTCTCACGCTGGGGTTACAATCACTACAAGCTCTTTGCCAATGCACTGGGGCTTCATCACAGGGTTAATAAAACAAAAAGAAAACAAGCTGTGGTGGGAATTAAAATGAAAACAAAGCAAAAACAAATCATAAGATGACACTAAAAAAATACAACAAAGACAGCAGAACACAATAAATCCTACACCCCTGACTAGATTTAGTTAAATAAACGCTTCCTCCAGATGATGAAGATTGTTGTGCAATTTTAGACCCTGCTCTCCTGATTGGTTGATCAGCGGCAAGGGTCTGACCCCATCGACTGACACACACCCTCCCCCTCCCCGCCCCTTCAAATATGCATCTACATGATCTATGGAACAATGAAAGAGATACAGTACATTAAAAACCCAGCAAAACAAATTGCTATCTGCAAATTTACAACCAAAAAAAGGGGGGTGGGGGGCACGTACAGTTACGTCTCCTAAATCTCTAAGAAACGACGAAAAAGGGTGTGAGAGGGAAGAAGAAACAAAAAACAAAAAGAAAAGAAAAACCCCAAAACAAAGCGAGGCACCCTTGAAAAGAAACGATGAGACGACGGGGATCAAAACCGGCTCCTGATCGGGGTCAGGATTACAACAAAAACAAAAACAAAGAACAGGTCCTGGAGAAGGGTGAGTGACTGCGACCCCGCTAGGACAGGACGAGCGTTGTGGTGTGTGCTATCTCAGTCTAAACGCCTGCAGTCTAATGTGCTCCAATGTGCAGAGAGATATAAATAGCGTCCATTAACACAGCATTATTAACCACTGAGAGAAGTAAAAACAGTACATTTAGCTACTTAGCATAGGGCTATGCTAAAAAAAAGGTGGAAGTTTTGTTGTGTTAACCGGATCATTCTCCTCCCTCCTTTCTACATTCTTTACATCCTTCTCATGAAGTCACCAATAACAAGTATAGGTTTTATTTTAACTTAAATGATAAAAACAATTGGCCTCCACAGGTATTTTAGTTAAATACATCTACAGTACACTGTCGCACGTCTTGGCTTTTCTTTTTTTTTTTTTTAAATCCTCCTTTTTAGCCGTTCCCCTATTTCAGACAGCTCTCTTTCTCTCTCTCTTTCTTTCTCTCTTTCCAGGGAAGCGTGTGCAGTAGTGCCAATTTTACATCTGTACAAGACCGGACAGAACAGTAGTGCTCAACGCCATCTAGTCAATTCAAAACCTTACATTTTTTTGTTTGTTTTTTTCTTTAAAGAAGCATGTAAAATCTATCCAGAGAAAAGTGTGGTTAACAACCAATAATAGTAAGGATGAAATGTACAGAGGTTAGCCTATAAGGATCAAGCTATTTCTCGTGGTAGGGTCTCCTTTTTTATTTATTTTTTGGTCTTTTTTTGTGTGTGTGTGTGTGTTTTAGTTTGGGTTTATTTTTTTTTCGGATCTTGCTACCCTTACATTCAGCTTGGCACAGTGCAGAACTACTCGCACGACGACGACGGATGACGACAGACTGTGCAGAACAAAAAGAAACGAAAACCGAACGCATTTGAGGTGCGCGCGGTTTCGCTCGCCGAGGCTGCGCTCAAGACTGCGTTTGGTTCGGTGGGTAAGAATATTATCTTGCCTTTTGTAAATTAAATCTGTTGTCTTTTTTTTATTCTTTATTATATCCAGTAAGAGAAAAAGAGATAAGTCTTGATGAGAATTGGGGGAAGTGGGGGGGGGAGTGGGTGGTGGTGGTGTTGGGGTTGGAGCTGTACAGGCCAGGAATATTTATATATATATATTTATAATTCAGAAACTCCTTCGTGGCTCCAAAGCAGCGACGAGGAGCCTGTTCGCTGTAATGGAATGACAGGTTGTCGGGGTGGGCGGGGGGCGGGGTGATATTGGCTTCTTCAGTGGTGTCGTCCTTCTTTCCCGCTGTTCTTCAGCTGCAGATAAACAGAAAGCATGCTGTAAGTGAAAGTCGTACTTTCAGCACATACACCTGCTACCATCCATCATTCAGCTGACAACTTATATTCAAGTAAAAGAATAAAGAAAAAGTTGCCTCTAGTTCTTGCTCTCTCTTGCATACAGCTACTGTGTCACATCTTAAGGGTATTATAAATGCAATTTAAAACCTATTTCACATCCATACCTGCAAAAAAAAGTGTGAAACGTGAAGGACAATCAGGTTGTATGTTGGTTTCATTTTGTTGCTGTTACAGTGCGATCAATACAACGTTTTTTCATAAAGACATAAAAAAAAAAAAAAAAGGCTAAAAAAAAAAGGAAACTTAACACTAACTTCAAAAAATCCAATTAATTCTAAAAACTTGTCCAAAACATATTTAAAACATTCATATTATTGGATTTTAGAGCCCGCAGAAAACCTGAAGGAAAATCTGAATATGAACACGTGTCCAAAAAAAACTGGAATCCAACCATGAAACATTCATGTGGTGACGGAGGTACGGGTATAATCAATGTAGAATTCCTTAAAGTATATAGTATGTATTTTTCAACCTCTTCTTTTCAACTTTTTAATCTTACAGTTTGCTTATTCTAGTTCTGTAAAGCAGTTTGTTAACATCATGTTTGAAAAGTGATACAAAAATATATAATATAACAATAACATCATAACATTCTTCGGTTCTTTTACTCTGCAGTCAGTCACCAGATGCAGTAAACTAAAAACACTGTATGGGCAGTTATGTATGCTTTATTTGCCTGGACTGTGTGAATGTGGAGAAATTGTTTACAGCGGAGAAGCATGAAACGAGATATGTAACAAAAGGCCCACATCCTGAATCCAACTGTGGACATTAATGATAATTCATCAATACACAGGAAACTAGCTCAATGCAGTATCTTGGTTCTCTTGGTACTGTCATTTAAATGTCCCTTCTTTAGTCACTGCGTCTTTTCCTCCTTAGCTCCATGAAAAGAAAGAGCTGTGTCACACTTACTTCTTTTCTGGCTTGGTGCTGCCTCCTCCCCTGATGGACACCGTCTGGCTGTTCTGGTAGAAGCCTCCTCCACTGCGGTTGATGTTGGGGTGGGTGGGAGACGCCACTGGCTGCTGCCCGGGCCGGATAGGCTTGGCTGGGGAGGGGAGGGGAGAAAGAGGAGAGTGAGTAATGGCCTTTTCAGGAGAAGATTTGTGATGTCAGGGAGATTTGTATTTCATTTCAGATAAATCATGAATTAGATCTCCTCTCCTCCTCAACTAACCCTTAATGATGCATTAAGAAGATTATTAATAATGTAAATGATCTGTAGAATAGTATTATAACAGGAAACTCCAACCCCATCCACCCCTACTAACCGATCTGGGCTGAATGTCCCCTCCTGGCCATGTTCTTGGCCCTCACGGCCTCTTTGATGCGGTCCACCTCCTGCTGGTAGCGCTTGCGGTCGCGGGCGGCGTTCTCCTTGGCCTCCTTCAGAGCAGACTCCAGGGCCTTGACCCGCTCAGCCGTAGCACGAAGACGCTTTTCCAGTTTAGGAAGCTCACAGCGCAGGTCTGCATTATCACGCACCAGCTGTGGGACAATTTGCATCATTTTAGATCATTTCTTCTACCATCTACCATTCTACAGCAGCCTACCAGTGGGGAAGCACAGGCGGCAATGGGCAGATAGATCGAGGAAAGATAGCTACAAGAAGATAGAAGAGCGAACTGATATAAAGGCAGAGAATAAGATGAATACAGAGCAAGAAGAAAGAAAAAAGGACAGAACTGCAAAGGGAGATCAGTCAGACAAGGGTTGTATGAGATCTTAAAGGAGAGCAATAATCTTTGAATTGCTGCTTGATGTGTATATTAAAACCGTACCTGTTTGTGAACCTTGGTGAGCTGCTCAAGATTGTTCTCAAGAAAGGAAATTTTCTGTTTCTGTGCTGCACTCCCACCTGTGTCATCCGAGTCCATCTCAGCGCTCTGCACAACAAATTAAACACAAGGATTAAAACTTAAATAATACCCAGGGGGACTTATTTTCACATCATACAGTCCTGTAATCTGTACCACTTCAGTCATTCTAACATAGTCGTGGTTCAGGGCAGAACTATTGTGTCCTCCCATCGTAACTGAAGAGATTTTCTTTGTAGCAGACAAAGAATGTCTCATTATATTGGTTCACCTTTTTCACTCTGGTAGCCAAGTCCTGGACAAAGAGCTTCCTCAAGTTGTGCAGGGTCTGCAGCTCCTTGGCCTTGAAAAATAAGAAATAATCAATATAAGAAACAAACGAAAAGAACTGAACACAGCAGATATCAATTCTTAGATCAACTACATATTGTAGTGTTGAATTCAAAAGTATTCTTTAATCAGGAATGAATGTTTACTGTAAATAATAGCTGCAGAATGGAAAAACAATTGTAGTGGAAACTGGTTTGACTTGTTTCTCTGATATTTCCATTTTGGCATTAACAACTTGTCTGTTAACAATGTGTCTGTTCAAGTAAACAAGAAGTTAACTCAATGATACAATCAGTTTAACTTGAGGGATGTAACCCTGTTATCTGATACAACATGGACCCACAATAAGTGCTTTTAATCATTATTTGATTGATATGAACTCACCACTGTCTCCTCCAGACCCTTCAGGTCCTGTCTGGCCTGCTCCCTTCTGTCCTGCATCACCCTGAAAAACAACAACAGCAATAGTTAAAATCTAAATACCCACACCACAATGTTGTTGTGTGAAATTACAGACAGTGAACATGTGCTCTGCTAAAAATACATGTCAGTGGTGATAAATGGCTGCACCTTTGTTGTATCTGGCCATTAAACTGAACCATACTGAGCCAACAGAGTGGAAACAGTGACCAGGTGACAGGTGTGTGTGTGTGTGTGTGTGTGTGTGTGTGTGTGTGTGTGTGTGTGTGTGTGTGTGTGTGTGTGTGTGTGTGTGTGTGTGTGTGAGAGAAACATACGTAAGCTCATGCAGCTTGCGGCTCTTCTCCTGGTCGGTGGATTTGAGTTTCTCATGCTCCACTCTCAGTCTCTCCTGCTCCAGCATGATCTTCTGGTTCAGACTGGAAGAGACAACAAAGCACCATGTTTATATATACGTTTATATGAACCTACTGACTTAATCTGTGTGTCAACAGGGAGTACTCCTTTATTGTAATCACAGTTGGAACAAGATGAAAAATTACCCTTTACCTAAATATAACTATTAAAACATTGTTTTACTTATGACTTTAAATATCAAATCTTTTGTTTGAATGGAGACAACAGAAATGTCTTACTCCTGCAGCTCAGTGATGAGTTTCTCCTTGTTGTCCAGCTCATCTCTCAGGCTGCTGATTTGCTTCTGATGAGCTTCACGATGGGAATGGATCTGCTTCTCCACCGCTTCCTAAACACACACACACAAACACACAACGTTTGCATGCCATTTATTTGACAGTATAATTTCACAAACATGGAAAGACCAACATATACTGTTAAGTTGATGCATTTAGCGTGTTGGGATTCTTCACACAATGTTTGTGATAAAAAAGTCTAGGTTACGCTCTGCACTTTTTCTGTCTGTCAGAGTTGTCAAATGTTTGTTGATGGCGACACAAACCAGAATGACAGAAATATATATTTTATTCTCTCTCCCTTGCACAATTTGCAATACTGTATTGTGCATGTGTGTCCAGTGTTTAATGGGACTAAGGAACATACCTTGACTTCATTGGCAGTTTGAATCTCATTCTCTTTCTCCATGGCGTGGACTTTCTCTGTAAAACATAAACAAGATTCGTTGTCATGAGACGGCAGTAGAGGGATAAACATGGTGATGTTAGTGTGCATTGAACCTTAAGAATATAAAAAACAGTTAGGATTGGGTTGTGTTTACACTACACAAATCCTGGGTCAGATTATTGTCACATTATTTGATTAATAAAAAAACCCAAATAATACTGAAAGCAAAAACTAAATGTAGACTTTCAGACTCAGCCTTCGGTAGCTTTTAACATGCCACTACAGTCCTGGGTGCTTTTTAGCACTTTCTCTGATCCATTTTGTAAACACCACACTATACAATACAGTAGATCAATACTTCAGTATCAGGAATCAACACTTGGAGTGTGCTTCCTAACCAATCCCCAGTTCTTATAAATTTGGCCGTGGTTCCAATTTCAAACGATTTCTTGAAACCCAACCGTAGCACATTTCTTGAGTTGGATAAATATGTTGAGATTTAATAGTTCCTGAGAGGCTGTTTGACTTTGATTCCTCAGCTCCTGTTAAGAATAATTTGCCTCTAATAGATATATTTATGTGGACTTCTGTTACTACTATATTTCTTGCTCTGTCTTTGAATAGTGACGTACCCTGAGCACTGAGCTTGACAAGTTCCTCATTGAGAGAGTCCACGTTCTCCTCCAGCTGCCTCTTCTTCTGCTCCACGTTGTGCAGGTACTCAGTCAGGGACTTGATTTTAGCCTCATGCTGGAGACAGAAGAAATAATACCGACGTTTAATACGTACATACATACAGATATATAGATATATATATATATGGCATCAGTAAGGAATGTGTTTGCAGTTCAGAACATTGCTTGTGTTTTGTTCCTTCGTACCTGGGAGATGCGCAGCTGACAGGCAGCCAGCTCCTTCTCGTTCTCGTCCATCTTCTTGTTGCTCTCTGACTGGGTGCTCTCCAGTTGCTTGCAGCGTTTCACCATGGTCTTCACTTCTGACTTCATCTTACTGATGTAGAGACGAGCCACTGTGAACTCCTCATCTATCATGCCGCTGCCGCCCTCGTGTTGCTGGAAGGGCAAAAGAAGAAAGTTGAAGAGGAGACATGACACGGAGGAAGAAGAAAGAACTGCGTGTTCATGCATTTTGATCATGAGTATGTGAACTGACATTGTACTACATATGTTATCATTAGTTAGTCGCTTAGCCTGAACCCTTTTCCCCCCAAATATATTTTTATCACAACATCATGTGTAAGGATTCCATATTATCATCCATTCATACAATTCAGAGAACTCCTTCTTCCTCTACCTTGATGTCATTGCTGCCTACGGCGATGCCAATCTCAGCGAGGTCTTTGAGCAGTGAAGACATCATTTCGGTCACCCTCTTCTTCTGGTGGTTGGACATCTCCTTCAGCTTCTGGAGCTCAGAGTCCAGAGATGACAGGATGGACTGGAGGAAGAGAGAACATTAATTATTAGTTATGAGAGCAAGATTATTTTGAAGCTCCGCTATTTTGTGCTGAAGAATTTTCGCTCCTGCAAAAATCCAACATATACTCATGGCACAGCATGAGACAGTATTTTAAATTATGAAAGAAAGGAAGGGACTGTAGCAATAAATGTGTGCATACCTGTAGTTCTTTTTATCCCTGCAGGTTGAACTAGTTTAATTATAGTGTTGCATATTAACATAGCCAAAATGAAGGACAAATAAAAGGCACATGACCAACATTAAAGTGTCACAGGGACTTTGGGAATGCAGATATCTGTACCCCAGCTCACCGATTTCTGGTTAAGCTCCTCGCTGATGGCCTCAAACTCCTTGGTCTTATCCTCCACCTCCTGGCTCTTCTGGTCGTAGTTGACAGCCAGCTCCTCCAGGGCCTGCAGCACCTCCTTCACCTCGTCCTTGGAGGCCTCATTCTCTGCCTGCAGGCGGTTCAGCTCTGCCTGGAGGTTCTCGTGATCGCGGCGGGAGGAGGCTAGAAGCTGCAAGCGGGGGGAGAGAAGTATAATTATGTCACTTGTTTTCAAAAGCATTAGGGCTGCAGACATTATTCAGTGTTTTTTTTTTTTCACAGTATGGATGAGAAAGCAATTAGCATTTTTATTTGATCTATTATTAAAACACAAAAGCTTTTTCTCCTTGCTGACTTTTGTATTTTAAAACTGATGGATTCATGCAGCTGTTCTGAAAATGACCTCAGGAATGTCAGTGAAACAAGGACTTAAGTACTGGGATGTTGTTTTGACATATACAGTGTACAAAACTAGTGCTGCTAAAAATATTTATAGAAAAAATATATATAGAAACTGAATATTGTAGCTCTACTTGAGACAACAGGACTGGAGTTAGTAAAATATAAATACAACTTGACAGCTCTGACAGGGGCATGTGTTACCCCACACCTCTGAAATTACAAAGATCACAGTTCACTCTGCAGCTGTGCTTTCCCTCCACCTGTTGGACCTCCAGTTCTCACCTCATCCTGGTCCAGCATCTGCTGTTTCAGCTTCTCAGCCAGCTGGCTCTGCTGGTTGATTTCCTCATCCTGTAAAGAGCAGAAACACAAAGCAACATTAGCATTCACAGCAGGCACCATACAGATCACAGGAGACAGTAGTTAAAAGATGACAGACCACTGATAAATGAAAAAAGCCTTGGGAAATATAATGGAATTTTTGTATTTGTCCAAAAGAAATGAGCATTATTCCATTTAGTAGTGACTGCTGTCCCCCTGTATGAGCATTCATTTGTTTAGTTTGCCTTGTTCAAAAAATAGATGACCAGGTATCATTTTTATCAAGCAAATATCCTGCATGAGATTGTCAAAATCAAATGTGATCTCTTTCACAAAGACATTTAACAACTTTAAAATGGAAATTCTCAACATGGTGTCGTTCTTCAGGTAGGAGCATCCATACACTCAGCAGTAACTGACATCTACAGATTAACATTTACTTTAGAGAAATAAAAATACCTCTACATTAGCGTCCTACGATTCAAAGACCAGCAGGAACGAGCAGTTGAGTTGCTACTCTCTAATATACTTTTAAGATTTATTAAGATCATCCAATATTGAAGCAGAAGAATGACTGAAGGACTCTTGTTAATCACTCTTTAGTTACCTAGGCATGTCATTATTGTTGTTAGTTTGTTTCTACAGATTTGTTCTATTTCCCTCCAAATAACCTACAGCCATTTTACAGGGTCATTTGCATATCTTATGATGAACTTAATTATGTCCTTTTCTAGTTTCAGTGTGTAAATAGCGTATAACAACTGTATACATAATGTACAAAGACTAAAAAACCAACACTCATCAAACTCATTCATGTCCCTCACCTTATCATCCAGCTGTTTGTAAAGCTTGGCCAGCTCAGCCTCACACTTGTCCTTCTCCACGTCGGTGAGGCGAACACCCGGCACGTTGGGTGTGACGGCCGGCTTTTCATTGATTATGTTGTCCAAGGCCTGCACCTCGGCGTTGGCCTTCTCCTTGTCAAACTGCTCCTCCACTGGCACGCTCTCACCTGTGGGAGCACACACATATTAGATATGCACAGATGGTGAGTAAAGAGCTTCATTTGTACTCAAAAAAACAGTTTAAAGCAGGCTGTCCCTGATACACAGCAGACAAAAACCAGTGATTTAAATCATATGCATGAGGCAGTCTGTCATGATAAAGATACATTACAGCTTAACAAACAGGTGTACTTATGTTTGTTATCTAGGAATTGAAGACTAAATCTGGCATTACAACCAGCACTGGAACCACAGCAGGACATTTCCACCTCAAACACCAGGAGAATCTAAATCAAAAAAGGTTGTCCAGCTTCCTCTTCTTATAAAACAATGAAATAAGACTGTATACTTCCTCACCATTCCTCCAGCGATTCAGCTCATTCTCCAGCCAGGTGACGGTGTTCCTCAAGGTCTTATTCTTCTCCTTCTCCCTCTCATACTTCTGCTTCCACTGCTCTGCTGTAAGCTCGATGTTCACAGTGACCGTGTTCTTGATGGTCTTTGCTCTGGATGTAGAAAAAAAAACAGATTTTATTCCCCTGAAAAGGCTCTAATGAGGGAATTATATGCACCATTATTCCTTCACAAAAAGGCGCCTAAATGTTCCAGCAACCAAGCTTGCACCACCACTGGACCAACTGTGATAATGATCCTGAATACATGTATGGCATGGATTTCTTAAACTCTATTTGAACATTCTAAAGCGATCTCAATTCAAAAGTATTTATATTACAAACTGAAGAAATTGTTTTCGTTCTACTGGCCTACCAACCTTTGTCCGAACATGAGAGTGGATTTGGTTTCGCACTCATTATAGGAGGAAGGAGAGCAGCAGATAACGATGGTGGTTCGACAGTTACCACCCAGCGAGTCCTGGAGGATACGGGTCATCTTGCTGTCTCGGTAGGGGATGTAGGCCTGGTATACAGGAAAATTCAATGAGCAGGGCATAAATTGTAGTGGACCCGACAAAATAGAGAGAAAATCTCTGTTGTGGTAAGAAAAAATCATAAGCAAGATGCATATAGATCTGAGTGGCACACAGACAGATCTTAGACACAGAAAAATAAAAGAAATACAAAAAGTATGGTATTGTGTAAGCTAGAATAATACACTTAAACATGCGGTTCCCGCTGTCCTGACACTGAAGACGAGGCCTGTGGTTTCACCGGCACTGAGCCAACAGGATGTGATGGGTTTGGTTACAGTTCTCATGAGTTAAGTAAAACTAGATGGTAGTTAAATGATAACTTGATATGTTATTGGTATTGATACAAACAGCCATGCTGCGGCAGTCTGCTATAATTCTTTAGGCACCACTATGTTCAGTAGGGAGTGAGACATTCTCTGTACAATAGCTCATTTGTTTTAGACCATCTCAAATATATCAGCAGCTGTCCGCCCCAGGTTGTTTACAGAGCGAAGGGACCGTAGAACAAACCAATCGTTGATTAAAGTGAAAAGTGTGAAATCGCTGTGAAGCATCTGAAGCAAAACATTGCTTGGAGGAAAGTTTTTATCTGCCCAAGTTATTGCTGCAGCACAAAGGACCTGTAGATGGCTCTAAATTGTGCTTTCACAGTAAGATAACTGAAAAAGATGCTGTTTTTTTTCCCCAGATGCACACCTCACCCTGGGCTGTGCATCTGGTAGACCATAGACTTCCCTTATGACTGCACCATTAGCAGTAATGTCTGTAATTTCAAAATGGTATGAAAACATTAGGGGAAAAAAATCATCACCCGAGGTTATAACATATCTAACATTCATTGTGCTGAATGAGCTACGTGATAGTGCCAAAAGCAAATATGAAGAGATTATGTCCTGAAGTAAAGATTAAAGCTTAAGTGACAAGACCGTTAACTGTGTCACAGTAACCTCAATTAGAAAACACATTTATCTCATCAGGTAATTCACTTTTACTTACAGAGCAAATTGAAAGACCAAATCCCACAAAACCCCACCACAACATATTCAACAAATTGATTAACAGACGGATAATTGCACCAACAGATTTAAGAAACACCACCAAAGCCTCTACGACTAAAGAGAGTTGAAGGGGAGTTACTGACCGTTCCTTCAGCCAGGGCAGAGATGACGTTTCCCAGAGATGACAGAGACTTATTGATGTTCTTGGCTTCATCCAGCACTGCTCCCTCTGCTCCTGTTTTACTGACCTGAAAATCACAGACAATAACCTCAACAAGGTGCTGTGCAGCTCAACGTTTAAGACAAAGGACAGACTCTAATCTGGAACCAACCCAAGTAGACAATAGAGGGCAAATGGGCCTAGAAAAAAATGTGGATTACAATACTTCAAGACAAAATAATGAGTACGCCAAATCAAACAGATTTGACAGATGGTTTAGTGTTCCTTTGTGTTACCTTTTCACTACCAGCCAGATCCACCAGGTAAAGTTTTCCGCTGAGCTTCTGCTCTGTCTGAGTGTTCTCCTGTTTGACGTTTATCAGGAAAATACTGTGACTCCTGGAGCTGTGCTCATTCATGTCTAAAGGAGAGATGACACCCATGTGGTCAAAAACGTATCGGCTTTAAAAATGCACAAGCTACAGTTAATGGATTTGTGACACGGATGGTTGTAAAACAGCAGGATGGCGTCTTACTTGTAACTGCTACGTGTCTGTTTGATTTGCCTTCATCAATTGTATCCATGACCTCCTCTGGACTGCAGACAAATCTCTCAGTGCAGCCCTGTGAAGAAAAGCAGAATTATTGAGACTGCTGGTCTACACACAGACAAACTACACTACCGGATACTTGTGAAAAGGAGGTTAGCTCTCACCTTGACGTAGGGTACTCTGTTTTTGTCTTCATGCACTGACAAATTGGTCTTTGACACTGGAGACGGGAGAAAAAAAGGGTATCAGGGAATCTGAATTGCATACTGCAGGTTTACTACTTTAAACATTTATGAAGATAGGAAGTTAAGTTCTGTTTATATCCTTGCGTGTGTGCTTAAAATATTTAAGGAAGCCTTTGCTTCCGTTTCTGCTTCTAATGAGGATGATCTCTGGTCATCATATCTCAAATGGTCTTGGGAGTTGAAGGCTACAATCCACAATTAACTTCAAAAGTCTTTCCCCACCGGCCAATTTACAGCATACAACCCAGAAACCTTCCACTCAGCAGGTTTAGAGAACACATTAGCTACAACTGCTCATAACAAGTATTGTGGGGGATTGAGTGGGAACTAAACTGAATTCAATTCTTATCCTGTCAGTGTTTTGACAACATAATCACAAGAACTGATAACACAGATACAAAAGAAAGATATTTAAAGTTCCTGCAGCTCATTTCGACACAAATCTGTTCAAGGTGGTGACCAATGTCAAACACTTGCCCTGAAATGTTCTGCTTAACAGACTCACTTGAGGATAGTGTTTTTATATGGGTTTTGTGTAGAACATACACATTTACAACTCACTACTCACAACAAAGTCAGTGTGTTTTACAGGTAACATCGCCCTCCATCATGTTTCAAACACAGGTTCATTTTCTCCATGATTCACATATTTATAGCAGCTCGTTCTATAATGTCTGTTTGCACTGTCTGGTACATCTAAGAGAGACGAGGGGTACATCACAGCCACTTACCATCCAAAAGGTCCCGGATCTTGTCTAAGTAAATCTCAAAATATGAAACCTGAAGAGAGAAAAGAACCTCATTATTTGGCAATCCAGCTGAGGGATTAGCCCAGAGAATCAAAATGCACACAAGGGCCTGCCTTGCAATATTATATAGGCATTAAAAAGATGCCATTCATATTTAATTGTTACAAATAAGGAGATGTTGTTTTTGAGAAATGTATGTGTTTCTTTGCACTTGCCTTGCAGTGATTCTGATATTTACACTATGTTCAGACAGGCAGCTCGAGTCTGATATTTTCATAGTCAACAAGAGTCAGATAAGTTCGGTATTTTCTCATTTAATTCAACCGAATAAAGTAAATGTCTCACCACTTAATATTCATGTTTCCTTATTTATATCATTCCCAACATGTCTTGTAAAGCATGAAATCATCAAACACGGTGGAGAGTCAGAGAGGAAATATGATGCAGCAGTACAGAGAGACATGTCATACATCGGCCTCATCCATCGACTATTTTGTTGCAAGAAAAATGCTTAATAATAACAGAACAGGAAGTGGGTAGCTTGTTGCTAGCACCCACAGTCTGAAATAGTGTTACATCAGATTTCAAACACACTTACTTTGATATGAAACTCCAGGTTTTCATCCATGGAATAGATGTAGTTGAAGATATCTTGCACTATCCTGGGGATGATGCCCATTCCGTCTGTGTCATGCAGATTCCCCTGCAAACCGAGAGCAAATTATTTAATGATTTGATGTTATTCAAACTCACTTCATCAGAAAATAAACACCACCAGGTGTTAGAGGTAATTCTTACCTCCATGGTGTGTGTTTTGCCAGAAGATGTCTGCCCATATGCAAAAATTGTTCCATTGTATCCATCCAGAACATCTAAAAGACACCAAACACGATTGTCAAAGGCAGATTTTAGCATTTAAGTCAAAACTGAAAAAAGACTCGGCTGCATTTTTATTTGTTCTCTATTTGCCTCTAAATAATGAGTCTGGTGCAAAAACATACAGATAGAAAACAGAAGCGAGACCTCACCTTTTACAATCTTCTGGGCGCAGGCATTGTACACTTGTTCCTGTGTTGTATTCGACTGAAACACTCTGTCGAACATGTACGGTTTACCCTGGAAAGAAGGGAGGAAGACTGAGTGAGTAACGGCGACAGTACCAAAACAAAACCCATTACTGTGTCGCCGTATTCAAAAACAATAATCTGTGACGATGTTGTGTAAACAGATCTGACAAACACAAAATCCATTCATCAGTCTAACACCCAGCATCTGATAAGTGTTTCCTGATAAAAAAAGAACCTTTGGCAGACAGGATGTTATGCTTTCTGCACAGCTAAAGGCAGATGTTTATTTGAAATCAACACAGCGTGATCAAGGATTGCCATAGCTGAGGTGACCCTTCAAAAAAAGATCAACCAACAAACCAAAAAAGACATATGCTTGAAGTCCTTTGTGACCCTCTACATCTATTTGTACCTGTTCTACAAACACGTCACGAAGAAGGAATTTCCCCTGCGGTGATTTAGGGTGGCCGAACAGTGCATTGGTTTTTTTTTTGCCTTTGCAAATAACTTTGTAAGATACAGCGGGACAATGTTTCACCTAAGTATCTGCTTGCTCTAATCACCTGCACTATCCCTCCTCCTACCTCCTGGGTCCTTGAGCCTGTTAAAAGGAGACTTTCAGACGAATAAAGTTGGCACTTCTGATAAAAGTTGCCAGTTAAAAAAAGGGTCACTCCTTAAACCGAAACACTGGCGAGCCACGGGATGCAAGACTGGCGGTGCTTACAGTCTGGAGTGTGTTTTACATGACTATTCTCCTATGTGATATTGTAATCCTGGGCTGTGATTTGAGGGATACTGAGGAGCACCACAGTTCAGACAGAGCTTCTGCTGTGTCAAGTCTCTTCACCACTACCGCGTTGTGTAGTGTTTTTCCATCTTAAAATACAAATACTGAACAGCACGTGATGATGTGACATCACGTGCGGCGGTGGTTGCTTGCCATCCCTTGTGGTTGGCTCGTCACTGGAGTGGTAGTTCATCATTGCAGTTATCGTGACAGCCCTACGTGTGTTCCACTGATGGGTAAATATTTATTTCAGACATATTTACCTTTATCTGAAAAGTAAATAGAGAGTTGACAGATGTGTGATGAATGTAGGTAAATAGGAGGGATGAGACAACAAAGATCCACTCAAACCAGGGGCGTTGAGACAGAGCCAAGCTGTCACAATTCAATGTTGTCAACCTGATTCACTCCTCTGAAAGTTAGCTGTCCTGATACAGCTCGTCTCGTCCCGTTTAAACTCCCTTTCCAACAATATCAGCACAGCATTTGTAATGAACTAAACTTTAACCACTAGTTTAAGAGCCAGCCTTCTCCAAACAAGCAGAGTGTAGCTGATCGTGATATCCCATGGGCCAGTCAAAACTTCAAAGCACAATTCCAGCGAGACAGCGATCAATAACTGGATTTAAGAAGCCGACCGCAAGGTAATAAAATTGATGCTACAGGCAAGTGTGAAGTTCAACTGAGATGGCAGGCCGTCTTTGGAGGTTTTTAAGTCCCTGTTGACTCATCTTTTCTCCAGCGTCATGGGTGGGGTCCTAGCTGTGCTGTATTAGGAGTTCAAGAACAAGACATTTGCATATGATACCCCAGGTTACAAAACACGCATGCCTGAGTGGCAGTACATTAGTTACTGTCACATTCAGCGTTAACACCTGTAACAGTAGGAGAATGTCGTCAAGCAGCTGGTGTCACCTTGGAAATGCCACTGGTGAGCGTGTTGTTTTTTTAATTCAGGGACAACAGCACAGGTAAACACATTCATAACTCAAGGTGAAACCACAAATATGCCACTGCCTGGCATTAAAAGCTACAGCACCTTTACCACTACTACAGCTGCGATGTCCTCAATTTGCACTCCGGCTCATAATCCCCCCCCGCCCTGACAGACGGTCACATCTAAAGCGCAGCTCGGTGCAACACAGACCAGCAGCATCTTAAGACGTTGATAATTCAACTCCAGCTAGCCACATCCTGGCAATTAACCCTGCCCAGAACATGAGCCACGGGGCCACTATCAGCCCCGCCAGAGGCTGTCGGCAAACAACAGCACCGCCCGAGTTTAAAGTCCTCATTGTTGCTGCTGCTGCTACTGGCCTCGTTACCTACACTTCTGTTCTAATGGGATTACTTGCCTGAAAATGTAATTACACTGGAAAGCATTGTTACAGTATTAATAAGTGCTTTGTCACGTTCCTGCTTCCTGATGGCTTTGTTATGATACTTGCCCAGGCTAAGCTATTCAAGAGGGACAGTAACACACAGTCCAAGGTTATTCTGCAGCAGCCACGTGACTCTTGTTGTATGATGCATTAAATGTAATTGGATTTGTTCTGCTTGGCAAAATAAGTCTTTGTTGGTAACTAACCTCCCTTCCTGGTACACAGCTACAATAAAACAGGTGTCAGGTGTATTTTATCTCTCACGCACCTTCGCCATTACACAATCTAAAAGTAGCTCCGTCGTGTTCTTGCAGGACATCCTAGGCTACCGTATGCAAATAGGAAATGTGACAGCAATGCATGGGGGAATGACCTGATGTTTTATGTGCAAATGGATGCATGAATAATTCACCTGCTGCACACGCACACTACGCTGGCAAACCCTACTCGGCAAACCAAGCTAGTTACGACATCCGTACCACCTCATCTGGAAACTTCATCTCCCTCCATTTTACCGGCAAAAAGACTGGCAGGACTTTAAAGTGAGCTGCAGGAATATATATGTTCTAGGAGATGAACAAAATCTCTGTTGTAGGGAGTCAGAGACCCCCTCCCCCCATGAATATCTCAGAGTACCACAGCAGCATGATGAAGGCCTACAGCGGCGAAGCTGCTTGTCAGACTTCTTTACACCACGCAATGTGGTCAGCTTCATCCCTGGCCGGCCGCGTGCCGCTGAGGCTTCAGCCCTAATACAGGGTCCACGCCCTAGATTGTTTTAAAACGGATAAAAATATGAGCTAAGTGAGTCAGTCACCCTGGATAAGAGCATCTGCAAAACAAAGTACATCACCATAATAATTACCCTCCCCACCCGGAGAGATTGCCCAGCGCCCCGGCCAACTGCCTGCTCTGATTGGTCCAACAGCTGGTTACCAGGAGAGAAAACCCAGGGGGATTAACCCAGGAGGCCTGCTGCTTATGGGCACTGTAAGTGTTGTACTACTGTACTAGCAGATGCACCAGCAGAGGCTACTAATCTCTGGCCTGCAACACTTGCGTCCTTCACAATGTGCACTGGTATTTTGGCACCATGACTGGCACTCTGAACTGGGCTGGGCCACATCATGCCTGAGGGGCACAGACAGTACGCTTTCTATTAGCTAAAGGCCTGAAGTCATTGTCAGCAAAACCATTCAAGAAGTCACCGCAGCTACAGCAGTCTTCTCTGTTTTGCATGACAGAAAATGAATAGCCCCTGTTGTATTCTAAATTCACCAACCTAAATTAGTAGTTTAACTCCAAAGAGGATGTGATTCATATCCACTCAGCCAAAACTTGCAACTTCATGAAAGGAATTAGTTTATATTGCTTTGTAATGGCGTTTAAAGCATGAGTGAGCACAGGCACCAAAGTCCAAAAGGGGGGAGTTTGTTGCTAAGGAAAACTAATGTTTAACCATGTTTTGTTCCAGATGAAACGGCAATAGGCTTTTACACGTGTAGCATGTACAAACCTGAGACATCGGCCACTGGCTTTTATTTTGTTATTATGCATCCTAATTACTACACAATAAAAGCTTATGAACCTTTTTCCTCTTTATATAGATATGGCACAGAGGCACATGAAACCCAGGCTGTGTAAACTGACACACTGTATAGGTGTATGATGACAAAGCATCACTGACTGACCTCGGGGCAATTATTCTGTTGCTTCAGTAAAGTGGAGGCAACAAGGGCACTGCGATAGTAAAGGCATTTCCTTCGTTTGTCATAGTGGGGGAAACTGAGCCCATGCTGTTAATTAAACCAAAAGAAAACACACTTTAGAAAAGGGCCTTATTAACAGAAAACTGTAACTTAAAATGTTTAATATGTAGTTAAACTGTCCAGTCACACATTACAAACTACCCTGTGTATAATGTGACATTCCCAGTGCCACTAATATTATTCTGACGCTACATTTCCTTTAATTAAAAAACTAATAATACTCTCCACTAATTTAAACTACAAAAAAAAGGGGGGTTTTGCCTATAACCTATCTATTGTTAGCTTTAATTAAGCAACAGTATTAAAACTAGCCAGCTAGCCAAGGCCGGCTAATCTGTCAACTACCAGCTGGCCTAGCAACGTTAGCGTTAGCCGCCACTGAATCAAAGCTGGCTTACGCTTTTCTGCTGACGCGGACTGATCACAATTAATGGCTTTATCGATGCAGATGTACGGTTAATTCACGTCGTGGTGTTGTTGTAAAGGAGTAGGGTAGCAAGGGCTGGCTATAGGGCTAACGCTGGCGACGCGTTAACCCGTGTTTAACCCGGGTTAACCCGGAGTGTCCGCGGCTTTGTTGAATGACAGCTCGCTAGCAATGACAGAGCAACTGCGAACACGTATCTGTAACGTATCGGGCTTTTTTTTTAATCTTTAAATGTGAACACTGAATTTACTTCCCTCAAAATAAATAACAAGTTTAATTTAATTGAGTGTTTTTGTTGTTTTTTTTTTTTTTTTGGTGGCGCCAGAAGTTGGCAGGTCAGCACCGAGCTAACGTTAGCTCCCAAGCTAAAAGGTGCTAACCACCAAGACAATCAAAAAATGGCGTCCTGCTGACCGTGGCCGGAGGAGCTCCGGATCAGCGGCGGCACCGCGAAATAACTCACCCCGATGATCACGTTCTCCTCCCCTTGAAACTTGGGGATGTATCTGTCGCCCCTGGTCACCTCGGAGCTGTTCAGGGGCCTAAAACGGCACATCACTTTGATGGTGCACTCCGCCGGGTCGGCCATCTTCCGCGGTTGACGGATGGAAATTCAGAAATAAAAGATGTTAAAGTGTCCCTGGATCCCAGAGGGGGGGGCGGGGGGGCTGCAGGGGAGGACGAGCCCCTCTGGTTCTGGAAAAAAAAAGGCGATTATCTGGTCGGGTTTTATCAAAAAAAAATCCTTGTTTTCCTTCTCAGTCGCTTCCCCCCTCCTGTTAGGAAGCCATGATACCGGTGGATCAGCGGCTGGCCACCTCACCCCTCCTCACCCTGCTCCTGCTCCTCCTCCTCCTCCTCCTCCTGCTGCTGTGGATGTGGTTCACCATGACGTCAGCCCGGCGCTCCCCTCCTCGCTGTGTTTGTGTTGGTGTAATGAAATCCTCAATAATCACTGGGCATCAACACAAAAACTACATCTGAAAGCAATGTGGGTTTACATTCTGTGGGAGCGTATCGCATTCAGTATTTTTTTTTTTTTTTTTGTGTTTTTCGTAATTATTTACGATGGAGTATTATGGCCATACTAAGAGAAAAAAATATAGAGAATAAAGAATAAAGTCGTAACATTACGAGAATAAAGTCATAATATTGCGAGAATAAAGTCATAATATTAGGTCTACAAAATAAAGTTGTAACATTACGGGAATAAAGTCGTAATATTGCGAGAATGAAGTCATAATATTAGGTCTACGAGAATAAAGTCGTAACATTACGAGAATAAAGTCGTAACATTACGAGAATAAAGTCATAATATTACGAGAACAAAGTCATAATATTGTGAGAATAAAGTCATAATATTAGGTCTACGAGAATAAAGTCGTAACATTACGGGAATAAAGTCGTAATATTAGAATGAAGTCATAAATTAGGTCTACGAGAATAAAGTAAATTACGAGAATAAAGTCATAATATTGCGAGAATAAAGTCATAATATTAGGTCTACGAGAATAAAGTCATAATATTAGGAGAATAAAGTCTTTTTGGAATAAATTAATATTTAAATAAAATCGTAACATTACGAGAATAAAGTCGTAACATTACGAGAATAAAGTCATAATATTGCGAGAATAAAGTCATAATATTAGGTCTACAAAAAAATTGTAAATACGGGAATAAAGTCGTAACATTAAGAGAATAAAGTCATAATATTAAATCGAGAATAAAGTCATAATATTACGAGAACAAGTCATAATATTGTGAGAATAAAGTCAAAACATTAGGTCTACGAGAATAAAGTCGTAACATTACGGGAATAAAGTCGTAATATTGGAGAATGAAGTCATAATATTAGGTCTACGAGAATAAAGTGAAAAATTCCAAATAAAGGTAAAAAGTCATAATATTGAGAATAAAGCTTTCAGAATAAACAAAACATTACGAATAAAGTCATAATATTGCGAGAATAAAGTCATAATATTGCGGGAATAAAATCGTAATATTGCGAGAATAAAATCGTAACATTACGAGAATAAAGTCGTAACATTACGAGAATAAAGTCATAATATTGCGAGAATAAAGTCATAATATTAGGTCCACGAGAATAAAGTCATAATATTAGGTCTACGAGAATAAAGTCGTAACATTACGAGAATAAAGTCATAATATTGCGAGAATAAAGTCGTAACATTACGAGAATAAAGTCGTAATATTGCGAGAATAAAGTCATAATATTACGAGAACAAAGTCATAATATTGTGAGAATAAAGTCATAATATTAGGTCTACGAGAATAAAGTCGTAACATTACGGGAATAAAGTCGTAATATTGCGAGAATGAAGTCATAATATTAGGTCTACGAGAATAAAGTTGTAACATTACGAGAATAAAGTCATAATATTGCGAGAATAAAGTCATAATATTAGGTCCACAAGAATAAAGTCGTAATATTGCGAGAATAAAGTCATAATATTAGGTCCACGAGAATAAAGTCGTAATATTGCGAGAATAAAGTCATAATATTAGGTCCACGAGAATAAAGTCGTAACTTTACCAGAATAAAGTCATAATATTGCGAGAATAAAGTCATAATATTAGGTCTACGAGAATAAAGTCGTAACATTACGAGAATAAAGTCATAATATTACGAGAATAAAGTAGTAATATTGCGAGAATAAAGTCATAACATTATGAGAATAAAGTCGTAATATTGCGAGAATAAAGTCATAATATTAGGTCCACGAGAATAAAGTCATAATATTAGGTCTACGAGAATAAAGTCGTAACATTACGAGAATAAAGTCATAATATTGCGAGAATAAAGTCATAATATTAGGTCCACGAGAATAAAGTCATAATATTACGTCCACGAGAATAAAGTCATAATATTGCGAGAATAAAGTCGTAACATTATGAGAATAAAGTCGTAATATTGCGAGAATAAAGTCATAATATTAGGTCCATGAGAATAAAGTCGTAATATTGCGAGAATAAAGTCATAATATTAGGTCCACGAGAATAAAGTCGTAACTTTACGAGAATAAAGTCATAATGTTGCGAGAATAAAGTCATAATATTAGGTCTACGAAATAAAGCGAACATTACGAGAATAAAGTCATAATGTTGCGAGAATAAAGTCATAATATTAGGTCTACGAGAATAAAGTCGTAACATTACGAGAATAAAGTCATAATATTGCGAGAATAAAGTCATAATATTAGGTCTACGAGAATAAAATCGAAATATTACGAGAATAAAGTCAAAATATTACGAGAATAAAGTCGTAACATTACGAGAATACAGTCGTAATATTGCGAGAATAAAGTCATAATATTAGGTCCACGAGAATAAAGTCGTAACTTTACGAGAATAAAGTCATAATGTGGCGAGAATAAAGTCATAATATTAGGTCTACGAGAATAAAGTCGTAACATTACGAGAATAAAGTCATAATATTGCGAGAATAAAGTCATAATATTAGGTCTACGAGAATAAAATCGAAATATTACGAGAATAAAGTCATAATATTACGAGAATAAAGTCGTAACATTACGAGAATAAAGTCATAATATTGCGAGAATAAAGTCATAATATTGCGAGAATAAAATCGTAATATTGCGAGAATAAAATTGAAATATTACGAGAATAAAGTCATAATATTAGGTCTACGAGTATAAAGTCGTAACATTACGAGAATAAAGTCATAATATTGCAAGAATAAAGTCATAATATTAGGTCTACGAGAATAAAGTTGTAACATTACGAGAATAAAGTCATAATATTTCGAGAATAAAGTCGTAATATTGCGAGAATAAAGTCATAACATTATGAGAATAAAGTCGTAATATTACGAGAATAAAGTCATAACATTACGAGAATAAAGTCGTAATATTGCGAGAATAAAGTCATAACATTATGAGAATAAAATCATAATATTACGAGAATAAAGTCATAACATTACGAGAATAAAGTCGTAATATTGCGAGAATAAAGTCATAATATTAGGTCCAGGAGAATAAAGTCGTAACATTACGAGAATAAAGTCATAATATTGCGAGAATAAAATCATAATATTGCGAGAATAAAATCAAAATATTACGAGAATAAAGTCATAATATTAGGTCTACGAAAATAAAGTCATAATATTAGGTCTACGAGAATAAAGTCGTAACATTACGAGAATAAAGTCATAATATTGAGAGAATAAAGTCGTAATATTACGAGAATAAAGTCATAACATAACGAGACTAAAGTCGTAATATTACGAGAATAAAGTCATAACATTGCGAGAATAAAGTCGTAATATTACGAGAATAAAGTCGTTACATTGCGAGAATAAAGTCGTAACATTACGAGAATAAAGTCGTAATATTACGAGAATAAAGTTGTTACATTGCAAGAATAAAGTCATAACATTACGAGAATAAAGTCGTAATATTACGAGAATAAAGTAGTAATTTTATGAGAACTGTCAGCCTGTTGGCTCAGCCAGCAAAACTGTTTAACAATGAAATGATCAATACGTTAGTTTACCTGTTCACTGTATTGTACTGAGACAAGCAGCGGTTGCTGGGCTCAGGCTGAGGCTGCTGTTTGGTTGAGCTGCTCTCGTCAGATCTTATTAACTCTATCGAAGCTTTTTTCTCATTAAAATGACTTTTTTTCTTGTATTATTATTAGTATTATAGTACCTTTACTCAGAAAAGAGTATTTTTGTTATACTCTCATATTGATACTTTTACTTAAGTAAAGGATCTGAATGCATTTTTCGGGACATAATCAGTGTTGAAAGAAGTATTTGGATCCTTTAAGTTGATTAAAAGTAGCAAAGTCACAATGTGGAAATGTAAAAAGTAAAAGATAATAAAGTAAAAGTCACATAAGTAATTATGTGAAAGTACAAAAGTCAGTAAAATGTACAATCAAATAAAAAATACTAGTTCTTCATACTAGTTGAATGGCCTCTGTCAGTCTTATTATTATTAGTCCTATATAACAATATGTACAAAGATTATTGTTGTTATATTACTGTTTAAGAAGTATTTTAACGTTGGTCAAGTTATTTTGTATGAAAAATCTTAATCTGTAATACAATTAGTAACTATAGATATCCAATAAGTGGAGTGGACTAAAAAGTGCAATATTTGTTTTTTAAATGTAGTAGGGTAGAATTATAAGTACCTAAAAAAAAGTTTGTGAGGAAATGTATAGTTATGCTCCACTGTTGGGACATAATGCAGCAGGTAAAACAGACCTAAAGACTCCTTTGTCTGAACCTTTTATAAGAACTGCAGAACAGCTGCTGTCACAATCTTGTAGTCATCTGACTTCTCCACGTATGAGTTAAACTTTAACAGTGAATATGATTTTTACGAGCTCACAGGTTGTTTTACACTAAATTCTCCAAATAAAGTTGTGACTGCAGCTCTCCAATTTAAAAGAGTACAAAGGACGAGTCAGTATTTCCTCTTGAAATGTGGTGGACTAACAGCAAACGTCTAACCAAATGATAATATGCAGTATTAAGAGCAGCAGTTGTGGGAGTGAGTCTTCTGTTGCAGTATGTGTAGTTTTACATTTCATTTTGTTTTGTATAGTAAATTTTGTGGCAAATTAATTGAGCACATGCTGGATGAATGCCTAAAATAACATAACAGAAATATCTGTTTTGGACAAATCCAGCAAAATAAATACTTGAAATGTCACATCAGATCAAAAAATAATATAAAAATGTTTTATGACCATAAAGCAATCTTGTATTTTTTATATTCATTTGTAGAATTCCAGACATTTCTTACAACTTTTAGAGTAAAATAGAATAAAAAAATGGTTTAGTTCAGGGAAAAAATGTGGAAAATGTGTAATCATCTGTCACGCTAAATTTTATAATCCCATCAACCTATTTGCAGATCCATCAATAAATATGCGCGGCGTGCAGGCAAGCTTTGTTATACAATCTACAGCTTGATCACCACTCAAGGTTTTCCAGGATGACAAATATGTTACACTATATTTCAAGGAAATATGTGTGAAATGAAACACAAAATGATGAAAAAAGTGTGATTCAATGACACACTGGGGCAAGTACGATGACATTTATTTTGATACATTACGTGAGCTGCTTTAAGGAAAACGTAAGGAGAGTACAATGAACACTGGTGCATTTGTAATACCCAAAAGAGAATATTACTGGAGCCTGTGACTCAGCTGTCTTTAAGACTGTATGCTGTGGGAGCTGCAGCTGTGAGACCTCCTCCCAAATAAAAATGCATCGTGTCTGACCTCACTCAACAGATGCTATAATGGAAAAAAAAAAAAAGCCATGGCAAACCACTAGTGGCTGCACACATTTTCTGGCCACTCCCCGAAACAGTGGAGGATATCCTTTTTCATGTTGGAGTGCTTAGCTAATCCAAATACCAGTTCTACTGGCCCACTTGTGTGTTCAGCGTAAGGGCGTGGTGCTTCTGTGCGAGCTAACAGGCCAGTCTGGTTGTCACTGAACAACTAGTCCCCAAAGACCACATTGTCTGCTGTTCATCCTCTATGGGAATGGAGGGGTTATTCAGTAATATGAGCTGCTTTTGTACTCTTTATCCTTTACACATTCTGCTACTTTGCTTCAGAGGGAGAAAGCAGGCAGAGGTGTTCGTTTATAATACTGATTTACATACATACTGTATTATTTACATACTGTATTACTGTACTGTATTTGTACCCCCCCACCACCTTGCTACTCAACTGTGCACCACAGGTCTCAACGTCCAACTAAGCCCATTAGTTGACAGCTGTGTCTTGGTTATTATAGAGGCGTGTAGATTTACTTTCATTGTTAATGTGTTAGACTGCACGCAGAGATTGGTTTAGGGAATAACACTACATTAGTCTGCATTGTCTGTAATAGTGTTTACAAGTGACATTTTATTTCCACATTGCTCCATTTCATTTGTTATTTAAAATATAAAGCCTGTTAAAGTCACTTCATGAACAGAATTTTATCACTTAAATATCCTCATTCGATATTTAGTATAAGTTTGTATATGTTTGTTGTGCATATGTAGCTAACTTGTCTCTACAGACCTCTAAAGTTGCTACTACAGCAAAAGTGTGACGGAGACGCTGTCAGTTCAACAATGGTTTCCACTTCTCCAACTTCTTCCAGGCTGGGTCTTCGGCAGGATTTAGACAGGATTCCAGAAGGACAAAATGTACATGAATAAGTAATAAAACTGAAAATAACTACCTTTAAATATTATAGAATCAGAATCAGGTTTATTGCCAAGTAAGTTTTCACATACGAGGAATTTGCCTTGGTACATTGGTGCATTAGAATCACTATCAAGTGTAGAAAAATATAAATAAAAAGAAGACGCTCTGTACTAATATAAAGAAAATATGTCCAAAATGGGCGGATACTTAAATAAATGCCCAAAGAGGACAAACTGAGGCTCCTGTCCGGGGCGCCATCTTGACTTTGTTTCAAGCTAATAACAAGCTTGTCTTAAGTTTACTCAATATTGGCTCTTATAACCAGGGTATTTCTGTGATGTAGAGCAGACACTCGGTTTCCATCTACACTACCGGTCAAAAGTTTTAGAACACCACCATTTTTTTATTGAAATTCAAGCAGTTCAAGTCCAATGAATAGCTTGAAATGGTACAAAAGTATGGGGTGAACTGCCAGAGGTAAAAAAAAAAAAAAAAAAAAGAGGTTACCCAAAGCTGAAAAATAATTTATATTTCAGAAATGTTGATCAAGCCTTGAGTCCTTCACCATCAAAAGGCACTCAGAAACTGGGGGATACTCTGACAGGAAGAGGTCTGTCAGACCCAAAGCCACAACAGAATCAGAAAACAAGTTTTTTGAGGGTCAACAGCTTGAGTGATAGGCGGCTCACAGGACAACAGCTTCAAGCACAGCTTAATAGTGGTCGCAATAAGCAAGTCTCAGTTTCAGCTGTAAAGAGAAGACTTTGAACTGCAGGTTTGAGTTGCAGCAAGAAAGCCATTGCTAAGAGGTCAGAATAAGAAAAAGAGGCTTGCCTGGGCCACGAAACACAGCCAATGGACTTCTGAAGACTGGAAGAAGGATGAATCAAAATTTAAAATCTTCGGTTCATCACGCAGGATTTTTGTACGCCGCCAAGTAGGCGAAAGGATGGTTCCTCAGTGTGTGACATCAACTGTCAAACATGGAGGAGATAGCGTGATGCTCTGGGGCTGTTTTGCTGGATCCAGGGTCGGTGACCTGTACAGAGTGAGAGGCACCCCGAACCAAAACGACTACGACAGCATTCTGCAGCACCATGCATACCCTCTGCGCCTAGTGGGTCAGGGGTTCATCATATAGCAAGATAATTATCCAAAACATAGGTCCAAGCTATGCCAGAACTGCCTTAAGAAAAAAGAACAAGATGGTAGGCTTGAAAACATGGAGTGGCCGGCTCAGTGACCAGACTTAAACCCCATTGAGCTGGTTTGGGATGAACTAGACAGAAGAGTGAAAGCAAAGCAACCTACACATTTATGGGAACTTCTGCAACAGAGTTGGTAAGAAATATTTGATTCCATTGTAGAAAGAATGACACCGGTCACTGAGAGGAATTTAATATTTTGATGAAAGCACCTTTACACAAATTGAAGAGATCTTTGGAAGATTTGCAAATAAAAAAATCAACATTAGACCTGAACAACACAATTACTGGGTTTGTATTTAAAAAAAAAATGCTGCTTAGCTTTAGACCAGGATGTAGTCAAATTGAGAAAAGACACGTAACAAAAGCAACAAAGATCCGTTTATACTGTATGTTTAAATGTATTAAGTCAGGATTCATGACTCTTTAAAAGGTCCCCCTGGCTCTTGACAAACAGCAAGGTATACACCTCCACACTATAACTGGTTTTGTATTATAATTAAGAAAATACACAGAAAGAAGGATCAGTTCACAGTACTTTACCATAAAACACAAGGGGTTGACGTACTTGATCTTGAGATGAACAGACAAAGAAGAGAAACAGAAAAACAGAAGAGGGCTGGAGACAGAGGACAGTGGGCCAGTAAAAGAGAATATATTCTGGTTGTTGCAGGAAATGTGGTCGGTCTGGGCAACGTGTGGAGATTCCCTTACCTCTGCTACAAGAACGGTGGAGGTGAATATTGTAAACTCTGTTTTTAATAAAGTTGCATTATTAAGGGTGTAGTGCACTAAAATACTGTATTGATGATTTGTAAGTGAAAAGATATTTAACTGTCATTGCCATGGGCATTCATGTTTGTATTATGTACACCTATAGGTGCCTTTCTGGTACCGTATGGTCTGCTAGCTGTGGTGGTTGGGATACCTCTGTTCCTACTGGAGAGTTCAGTTGGTCAGTACACTCAGGAAGGATTCATCACCTGCTGGAGGAAAATGTGTCCACTGGCACAAGGTGAGTTGATGTGTGATGAGATATAGTCAACATAAAATGAATCTCCAGAGATTTAAAAATGTATAACCCTACAAAAAGGTAAACTACATTTATTTGTTTTTAAGGAATTGGATATGGAAATATTATAATGAAACTGTATGACTTCAGCTACATTATAATCCAAGTCTGGGCTCTCCTCTACCTGGTGTTCTCGTTCAGATCCCAGCTCCCCTGGGCCAGCTGTGAGAACACCTGGAATACAGGTAAAGTTACGGTAGACTACAGAATTTACTTTAATGTTTAAACCTTGCAAAAAAGTTCTGTAATACTATCACAGTCCGAAGACCTTTGTGTGTTAATGTGTATAAAAGTAGTTCCTCAAACTGACTATTATCTTTTGTTTATTCTCTCAACCAGCGAATTGTATGGGTATTCAGATGTTTGATTCTCTGACAAATCAGACTGTGCTGATAAACACCACCTCTGCTGCTACCGAGTTCTGGGAGTGAGTTTAAATTAATTTTCTTTTAATAACCAACGATGACATCCAAGTGACCCTATATCTCACTGTATAACACCTTTAACCACGTTTTAAACCTTCCTCAAAAAGGCTTTTTGATGCAACATGTAATTCTCAGCTTTGAATTACTGTAACAGTGACACCTTGTATAAGTAAAGAAATCCATGCTGTTTTTCTTTGAGTTTTGAAATTGAATGAGAGTGAGGCTGCGGTCCATCAGGACCAAAACCTCTCGCTACAAGAACAGTTTCTTTCTGTCTGCAGCTGGCCTCATTAACAAGGTCCGGAACCCCACTGACACTGACTCTTAAACCCACCCTGTATATATTCATTACATTAATGCACTCCCGTTTCCTGTACAGTTTTTCTTATTTCTTATCTTTATTTATATTTTTGAAGTACTTTATTTTTGTGTGATTAGTATAATTTATGCACCAATGCACCTAGACAAATTCCTTGTATGTGTAAAAACTTACTTGGCAATAAACCTAATTCTGATTCTGAGAGAAATCACGATTTCTAGTCATATCATGTATATCTCTTAAACTTCCCCACAGACGGCGAGTGCTCGGCATGTCTGGAGGCATTGAGGATCTGGGCAGTGTGAAATGGGAGCTGGCTTTGTGTCTTCTGGCCAGCTGGATTTTCTGCTACTTTAGTATCTGGAAAGGTGTCAGGTCCTCTGGAAAGGTCCTGTGGAAACATTTAAAATCTTTATCTATCTGTGGTGCATATAATTATCAATAACCTTTCTCTTGACATTTTCATTTAAGGTAGCGTATTTCACAGCCCCGTTCCCCTACGTGATGCTCCTGATCCTACTCATTAGAGGTTTGACTCTACCTGGAGCTTGGGATGGGATCTACTACTACCTGTATCCAGACCTGACCCGCCTGGCAAACCTTGAGGTGGCCTGTTTACTTAATCCTAAAGTTAGAATTAAAACTTTAAGCACACTGAGGCCGTAATTTAAATGGTTGGCTGGCGCTTGGTTGACATCATCCACCTTCTGTTGTGTGATCTCTTCATTTCTGTTCAATCTTTCCATTGTTGGGTCCTCCATTCTGAATCTGAATCATTCACCTTCTGTTGTGGGAGCTTTACATTATAATCCTTCATTGTGGTGTCTGACCAGGAGTCCTTCTCCTGATTAGGGCCCGCTATTTATCAAGCCTTTTAGAATTACTCCTAGAAATCCCCTTTTCTTACAGGTCTGGATAGAAGCAGGATCTCAAATATTGTTTTCCTTCAGCCTGACTGCAGGGAGTCTAAATGTCCTGGGCAGCTATAATGAGTACAACAACAACTGTTACAAGTAGGTATATTTAAGATATTCCAACTTTGAAATGACAATACATATGGTTGGTTTTAGAAAAAGGTTTAGACAAGTTACAGACTAATTAAAAGAAACACATTTTGCAAGTATCTGTAGGAATGTCCTCTCTCTGACAAGGGTCTGTTGTCTTCCTGTGGCCCCCAGGGACTGTTTCTGTCTCTGTCTGCTGAACAGTGGGACCAGTTTTGTTGCTGGATTTGTTGTCTTCTCTGTTCTTGGATTCATGGCTCACGAACAGGGTGTTACTGTCGACAATGTGGCTGAGTCAGGTACAGTATATTCAAAGACTTCATCAAATTAAATGTTTAATTAAAGCTGCAAGCAAGGATGAACAAGCCCTTGATTCTGCACATGCCAGAGTTTGCTGCAGTCGGGTTACACACCAGTACATCATGCAAACACCAAGCCATCAAAATTTCATGTAAATCACATCACAATCGCATACAAGGCTTACGTCTTCTTGCCAGCAGGCGGCGCTATGATAATGTTTGAATGTCGGCACTTTGATGTGTTCAGACCAGGGCTCTTATCAAACTTATGAAGGTTGGAGCCAAATGGAGAATCTAAACTGAAGTTAGGTTTAGCACTAGGGTTTAGGTTAGGGTTGTGTTTAGGGTTAGACAGTAGGAGGTGCTATAGCAATGAGCGAATACTGGCATGTAGATGTATTCATGCAAATAACATATTTAACCATTGAGGCTGCTCAATAGGGGGTTGTCGAGCCAGTTTTCTTCGCTTCCGTTTGAGACCCATAGAATACATAATTTTTAGCCATGACTGACATATGTGCTGCGTTTCATGAGATTCAGAACATGTTGTGGCATCCAAAAATGAGATTTACTTTTACCAACAATAATAATAAGACTACGAACAAATACAATAGGGCCTTTGCACTAGTTAGTGCTCGGGCCCTAATTAGTAAATTATCCAAAGTTGAACACAATGTTCTAACATGAATAGGTATAATTTTTGCTTCTCCTCGTTCACTTCACAGGTCCAGGTTTGGCTTTCATTGTTTACCCTCAAGCAACAGCTATGATGCCTTTGCCACAGTTCTGGACAGTCTGCTTCTTCCTGATGCTTATTCTACTGACTGTTGACACACATGTAATAACATCTGTCACATTACTTTTTGACAAATAACAGATATTTGTCAGACACAAATCAAATTGTTTGTTGGTTTTATTTTGTCCCCAGTTTGTGATTGTGGAGAGTTTTATCACCACAGTGAGCGATTTGTTTCCCAAATGGTTTCGTGCACCAGTGAGGCACGAGATCTTTGTCCTCATCATCTGTGTATCCAGCTTCCTCATACATCTTACCCTGGTTACTGAGGTGAACACAGATATCTTCATGAAACCTTCTTTATAAAACTTAGATATTGTAACATTTCATTTAAAACTGTATTTCAACTTGTCTTTTTTTCAAATCTCGTCTCTTCCTGCTTCAGGGAGGAATTTACATATTCCAACTCATTGACTTCTACGGCTCTACCAGAGTCTGTCAGAATTTTATGGCTATTTGTGAATGCCTGGCAGTGGGCTGGATTTTTGGTGAGTCAGATTACTAAGGCTGGTCCACTAGTATTTGTCCGTTTTATGTCAGTTCTCACTTCCAAACCTCTTCTGCCCCAAACCTGTTGGTTGGTACTGAAGACACAAATCTTTAAAAAACTTTAAAAAAGATCCAGTTTAAATTTTAAAAATGGTCAAACTGCAAGAAATATTTCACTTGGGACTATTTTCACTGGTAGATTAATAAAAATTGAGTTTGTAGTATTAGTAAAATGCAAAATATCAACAGCCATATTGTTTAATTTTAACATTTTGACAACATATAACTGTAAATTGGACTTCCATCAGGTGCTGACCGCTTTTCTAACATCATTGAGGACATGACAGGACAGAGACCGTCTGTTTTCTTCAAGCTGTGCTGGAAATACATCATTCCTCTGCTGTCATTGGTGAGTCAGAAAGTTTCTTTGTTGCTACCAAAGATTTTACATTGATTCATTAACTTTGGCAGTTTATTCAGTAAATATGAATGAGATTTGTCAGAGAAGTACTGCTGGATTTTGTGCTGCTGGATTTGCTGCATTATTTGTGTGGCTTCAATAGATTGTGACTTAACCGGCCAGCAAACTCCAACTGTCTGTAAATGTGACTTTTACATTGCCAAACTATGTTTTGCACAATCTACCACAAGTACAGATGATGCAGCTTAATTCATCAATACAATATTGTGTTCATGTTTAACAAAAACCATCTCCACACCCTCACAGATTTCCTTTATCCTCTACCTGGTTGATTACAAACACCTCAAGATTAATGACTGGTACACTTACCCTGACTGGGCTTACGCACTAGGATGGACCATGACACTCTCCTCTGTTCTCATGGTGCCACTGTGGGCAGCTGGACAGATGTGTTTGACAGCAGGGACCTTCAAACAGGTCAGTATCCATCTGTTACAGCCTAAATAATATGCTTCTCTTTTCTAAGACAATGAAAGTCTCCTTTTATCACTCAATAAGCTGCAGCTTGTTTTTGGTATTGGTCAATCAACAGGTCCAAAGAATCTAAAAGATGGTCTAAAATCTCCTGTAATTGTCCTTGTGATTACAATACTACTAACGTACTCATTGGTTTGTTCCTGTGCTCCAGCGTTTGTCCGTTCTTTGTCGTCCTGCTGAAGATCTAGCCTGGCAGAGGAGAAACATTGGAGAGGAGGGAGCAACTGTTGAACTGACGACGTCAGCAGTGACAACTTAGTGTGACCTGCAAAGTCACATTAACTCAACATTACAGCTATCATAGTGTATAATCTTATTGTAATCAGTGTAGCTCTAGCTGTATGTAGCTGTCATCTTGAGCTCTGGAAAGTTGTGATGGGGGTTTCTTTGTGTTTGTTTTGAAATCTTGACTTAATGGGCAATCTGATTAATAATTATAATACTTCTTTCCAAATCTGAACTTTGGTCTGAGTCTTTATTTACCACTTTACTTTACTCACATTTTCAAGTATTGGTTGAACCCACCCACTGATCTATTTATATAGTTCACATGCTGGTCTGGTACAAGGCTTGGATGTTTTTAGTAGCTCAAATTATGATGCAAAGCATCAATACCTGTTTAGAAAGCTGTATCACTGAGTGAATATGGTACCATTAAAATTAAATGCGCTAATGATGGATTTCCTTTAAATAAAACTGAATTAACTGTTTGAGTAGACTTCATTTTAACACGGTTCTTGTTAAAGGATGTCTTTGCAACATAATAAAGCTAATGAAAACAATGTTATAATATTCAAATGTGATTTCTAAGAGAACAACATGGCTCTTCAAGACATTAAAAGACAGAAAAGACACATAATTAAGTCAACAAAGATGAGTTTGCTTATACTGTGTATTTAAATGTATTATTTCAAATTAAGTCAGGATTGCTAACTCTTCAATAAGTCCCCCTGGCTCTTGACAAACAGCCCGGTAGACACCTCCACACTGGAACTGGTTTTGTATTTTATGATAGTTTATAGGCTGAGGGCAGGATAAAGTCAAATTAAGAAAAGACATAATAAAAACAGCAGAGATCAGTTCACAGTACTTTGGAATTATAACTGAAACACAACGATAACATACTTGATTTTGAGATGGACGGACAAAGAAGAAAAACAGAAAAACAGAAGAGGGCTGGAGACAGAGGACAGTGGGCCAGTAAAAGAGAATATATTCTGGTTGTTGCAGGAAGTGTAGTCGGTCTGGGCAACGTGTGGAGATTCCCTTACCTCTGCTACAAGAACGGTGGAGGTGAATTTCATAAACTTTGTTTTTAATAAAGTTATATTATTCTGGGTGGTGTGCACCAAAACAAGATTAATATTGATGGTTAGTATGTGAACAGATATTCCGTCTGTATCATTTTTATACAACTATAGGTGCCTTTCTGGTGCCATATGGTCTGTTAGCTGTGGTGTGTGGGATACCTCTGTTCCTACTGGAGAGTTCAGTTGGTCAGTACACTCAGGAAGGATTCATCACCTGCTGGAGGAAAATGTGTCCACTGGCACAAGGTGAGTTGATTGTGTTCAGATATATTCAGCATAAAAAATATTAATATATATATAAATATAATATACTAATACCAACTTGAAAAATTTAAAGATTACTCTGATAATTCACAGACATATTTAAACCATCTCCAATAATTAAAAATGTATACCCAACAAAATGGTTAACTCTGCTTATCATTTGTTTTTTAGGAATTGGATATGGAAATTTTATAATGAAACTGTATGAGTTCAACTACATTATAATCCAAGTCTGGGCTCTCCTCTACCTGGTGTTCTCATTCAGATCCCAGCTCCCCTGGGCCAGCTGTGAGAACACCTGGAATACAGGTAAAGTTACGGTAGACTATAAAACACTATGTGTTAATGTGTATAAAAGCAGTTCCTCAAACTGACTTTTTTTTTCTCTTCTCTCAACCAGCGAACTGTATGGGTATTTAGATCTTTGATTCTCTGACAAATCAGACCGTGCTGACAAACACCACCTCTGCTGCTACCGAGTTCTGGGAGTGAGTTTTCATACATTCAGAAAAACTATTTAGAAATGTTCACACAACTGCTTAAACTCCTAGTGAATCATAATCCAAGTCAGGTATCCACTTCTCCTCTGATATAATTATGAAAAATCCTATGGATAATGTCTATAAATCATAATTTCTTGTCATATCATGTGTATCTCTTAAACGTCCCCTCAGACGGCGAGTGCTGGGCATGTCTGGAGGCATTGAGGATCTGGGCAGTGTGAGATGGGAGCTGGCTTTGTGTCTTCTGGCCAGCTGGATGTTCTGCTACTTCAGTATCTGGAAAGGTGTCAGATCTTCTGGAAAGGTCCTCTGAAAACATTTTAAATCTTTATCTATCTGTGGTGCATATAATCATCAATAACCTTTTACAATTTTCTTTCAATTTAAGGTAGCGTATTTCACAGCCACGTTCCCCTACGTGATGCTCCTGATCCTACTCATTAGAGGCTTGACTCTACCTGGAGCTTGGGACGGGATCTACTACTACCTGTATCCAAACCTGAACCGCCTGGCAAACCTTGAGGTGGCCTGTTTACTTGATCCCAAAGTTACAATTAGAATTTTAAACACACTGAGGCCTTAATTTAAATGGTTGGTTGGCTCTTGTTTGACATCCTCCACCTTCTGTTGTGTGATCTTTACATTATAATCCTTGGAATGTGGGGTCTGACCAGGAGTCCTTCTCCTGAATTGGGCCCCTATTTGTCAAGCATCTCAGAATTACTGCTAGAAATCAACTTTTCTTACATTACAGGTCTGGATAGAAGCAGGATCTCAAATATTTTTCTCCTTCAGCCTGACTACAGGGAGTCTAAATGTCCTGGGCAGCTATAATGAGTACAACAACAACTGTTACAAGTAGGTATATCTAAGACATTACAACTTTGATATGACAATACATGTGGCTGGTTTTAGAAGGAGGTCTTGACAAGTTACAGACTAATTAAAAGTGTAGGAATGTCCTCTCTCTGACGAGGGTCTTTTGTCTTTCTGTGACCTCCAGGGACTGCTTCTGGCTCTGTCTGCTGAACAGTGGGACCAGTTTTGTTGCTGGATTTGTTGTCTTCTCTGTACTTGGATTCATGGCTCAAAAACAGGATGTTACTGTCGACAATGTGGCTGAGTCAGGTACAGTATATTCAAAGATTTCATCAAATTAAATGTTTAATTAAAGCTGCAAGCAACAATGAACAAGCCCTTGCTTCTGCACATGCCAGAGTGTGCTGCGGTTGGGTTACACACTACAGTGTTTCCTGTAAGATTTTTTTTAGCAGTGGGGGCAGGGCCGTCGGAACACCCCACCCCCCTCCATAAGTGACACTTCGCTGCGACACAAACAAATATATTTACCGTTTTAATCTTTCCAGATGTTTGATATCAGGACGTAGAGCTGAGAACTGACAAGCTGAACGTTGTCCAATTAAAACGGACCCACCGCGGTGACTTTTGGTGGAGCTGTTAGTTTAATAGTCAACTTGGAAGAAAGCGAACATTTTGACAATAAGCTACATCAACACAACAGTATGTGGAGTTAAACTGGACAGCCCCAATAACCTCTGAATAGTTCTACTTGTTGTTAAATTGCAATGTGAGCGGCAGCCAACGGGGGTGCATTATGTCGGCAGGATCATTTAAAAGGCAACCGTGACTACATTGTATGTCTGCCCCATTTCTGAGACCGTGGCGGCAGATATTTAACAGCAGCGGGCTGCCACTCCAAAATCAACATACAGGAAACACTGCACTAGTACATCATGGGAACACCAAGCCATCAAAATTTCATGTAAATCACATCACAATCGCCATACAAGGCTTACTTCTTCTTGCCAGTAGGTGGCACTATGACAGTGACTGAATGTTGGCACTTGGATGTGTTCAGACCAGGGCTCTTATCAAACTAATGAAGGTTGGGGCCAAATGGAGAATCTATACAGAAGTTATGTTTAGCACTAGGGTAAGGGTTGTGTTTAGAGTTAAACAGTAAGAGGTTCTATGGCAATGAGCGAATATTAGCATGTAGATGTATTCCTGCAAATAACATATACATAGTAAATATGTAAAGTTTGACGCTGTTTTCAGAATGGATACTGAACTAAGAGCTAGGGTTTCCTTTGTAATGGCCAAACACCAATTTTTGAGTGGACACCACGGACACACCGTTTGACCAAATGTCAAGATTTGTATAACTTTTCATCTTGAACTTCTTTAGAGTGTACTTGCCATTCTGATTAATTCCTCGGGAGGAGTGCAATAAAATAGAAGCCCCGAAATTGGCAGAAATGGTGCCAAAATTTGGCATAAAACCGACTTCCTGTTGGATTTAGGATATGGCTCCAAGTCTGACACAATGCAATGGAAACAACCTTCAACGAAAACTCACCACATTCATCACATGCCATCAACAATGTTTTGCGTCTTCTGGCCAAATTTCAGCTGGATCTGATCAACCTGCTAGGAGTAGAACATGAAAGTATAAAACATGTCATTTTTTTCCCAAGTGTAGGACCAACAGACTCAAGAACTTCTTTGTCCCTCATGCCATCATACTCTACAACTCCTCACTTGGGGGGAGGAGGAAATAGGGTAAAGAGGAAAGAAGGGAAGGAGTGGTAGCCACTCACTGTGCAATAGTAATTTACTCATACATACCTGGACACTCTTCTTCTTTCTTGTGGAATAACTTAATCCACCGCTTAAGTGCAATAATTTAATTTAACTGCTAATTTCTGCTAATGTCATTTATCCAGTGTATAATAACACAATGCCATATACATTCCTATATATTTATCTGTATTTATCCTCTATACAGTTCTCTACATTTATTTTATTTTATTTTATTTTACTTGAATTTAATTTAAATTTATTCTTATCTCTACTTTCTATATATTGCTAAGAGTTTATTGTTTATTGTTTACTTTCTATATTAGCTAAGAGTTTATTGTTTATCTTATACTGTATTTTTTTATACCTCTTTTATTTTAGTTTATATAAGTGTTTTGTAAACTGCTGGAAATTCAATTTCCTTGAGGGAGTTATCCCAAAGTGATCAATAAAGAGAAGTCTAAGTCTAAGTCTATTGTCTATTGCCAGTAGGGGGTGCTATGGGTATGAGTGAATATTGTCAAATAGATGTGTTCACAGCTGGAGTCTTATCAGACTTGTGAAGTTTAGTGCAGATTAGACAAAGTACACTGAAGTTATAACAACTTCCTGTTTCATGGTGAAACATGGAAATTTGGCACCATGCCACGGAAACGTCCTCTGACGAAAAGTCAAGATTTTGATCGTGATGGTCTTTAGGCTGCACTGACCAAATTTGAGGCCTATCCGATAAATTCCCTAGGAGGAGTTTGTTCAAATACCACACGTGCTAAATCCTGTTGGGGTTGAGCTAGGACTACAAGATGCTTTTTTGTTCATCTGGATCTACATGTGTACGTTGCGGCTGCTCAATAGGGGGTTGTCGAGCCAATTTTCTGCTCTACTGCTTGAGACCCATAGAATATGTAATTTTTAGCCATGACTGACATGTGTGCCGCGTTTCATGAGATTCAGAACATGTTGTGGCATCCAAAAATGAGATTTACTTTTACCAACAATAATAATAAGACTACGAACAAATACAATAGGGCCTTTGCACTAGTTAGTGCTCGGGCCCTAATTAGTAAATTATCCAAAGATGAACACAATGTTCTAACATGAATAGGTATAATTTTTGCTTCTCCTCGTTCACTTCACAGGTCCAGGTTTGGCCTTCATTGCTTACCCTCAAGCAACAGCTATGATGCCTTTGCCACAGTTCTGGACAGTCTGCTTCTTCCTGATGCTTATTCTATTGACTGTTGACACACATGTAATAACATCTGTCACATTACTTTTTGACAAATAACAGATGTTTGTCAGACACAAATCAAATTGTTTGTTGGTTTTATTTTGTCCGCAGTTTGTGATTGTGGAGAGTTCTATCACCACAGTGAGCGATTTGTTTCCGAAATGGTTTCGTGCACCAGTGAGGCACGAGATCTTTGTCCTCATCATCTGTGTATCCAGCTTCCTCATACATCTTACCCTGGTTACTGAGGTGAACACAAATATCTTAATGAAACCTTCTTTTTAATACTAATTTAGATATAGTAACATTTCATTCAAATGTTTATTAAAATCTCTTCTCTTCCTGCTTCAGGGAGGAATTTACATATTCCAACTCATTGACTTCTACGGCTCTACCAGAGTCTGTCAGAATTTTATTGCTATTTGTGAATGCCTGGCAGTGGGCTGGATTTTTGGTGAGTCAGATTACTTATACATTTATAATGTTGCTATTGAATCCTATTAAAAGGCCAAAACCAACAATGGATTAGTTCATCTCTCAGTAGGTTCTCACTTGGCTGTCTATGATTTTCTGAATTAAGTCAAATAAAAATCTAAATCAAATTTTCACCCCAAGCCCATGCTGGTTGTTACTGAAGCCTACATTTTTAAACAACTGTCAGAAATATCTAGATTCATTTTAAAAAAAGGCTCGATAATTTCCTAAAACACCTGTGCACCATAGCTTTTAGTCAACATTAATCAAACTGGAAGAAATAGTACATTTGTTAGGGACTATTTTCAGTGGTGGATTAATACACATTTCGGTCTTTTCATGGAATTTATTTAGTAAAGGTTATGTGTGTAACATTTAGGAGGATTTATTGGCAGAAATGAAATCTAATATTCATAGGTATGTTTTTATTTGTGTATAACCACCTTAATATAGGAATCCTTTTTTATTTTTGTTACCCTAGAATGAGACGTTTTTATCTATAGCTTCAGATGGGGGACAGATGTCACTAAATCCTACAAACTGGTCCTTTAATAAAAATATAAAATAACACCAGCCTTGTTCTTTAAATTTATGCAATTGTGGCAATATGGTGAACTAATAATTTCTGTGCCTAAAGGGAAATTTCTCAATTTCTGACATTCTTGTCTCTGTATTTTGCTGCACATTTCAAATAGTGACTAAATTGAGAATTTGGATTTCAGGTGCTGACCAGTTCTCTAACATCATTGAGGATATGACAGGACAGAGACCGTCTGTTTTCATCAAACTGTGCTGGAAATACATAATTCCTCTGCTGTCACTGGTGAGTCAGAAAGTTTCTTAGTGGCTACCAATGGTTTTACATTCCTTCATTAACTTTTGTTTGGAGAATTTGAGTAAGATTAATCAAAGCAGTACTGCCTGATTTTCTTGATTATTTGTGTTAATTTTACATTTTCACCTTCCAGCATAATTAATTCTTGGCTTAACTTATCTGTGACTTTTATAGTGCCAAAACTATATTTTGCACCATCTACCACAAGTACAGATGATGTAACTGAATTCATCAACATTGTGACGTGTAGTGTTTAGGTTGGACCCAGGAGCAGACACACAGACAAGATGGATGGTTTAGATGGGGCTTTATTTCACACACACACACACACACACACACACACACACACTGGGGCAGATGAGGGGCGGCCTCAGCAGGAGCGGGCCGGAGAATCAGCAGGCAGACCAGAGACACGGAAACACTGGAGAGCTGACTCTGGGACCCGAACGGCACGGGTAGACTGGAGAACTGGCGGGGGTTACGAAGATCCGGAGGCACTAGAGAGCTGACCCTGGAACCTGGTCTACACGGGAAGGATCCCTGGAACCCTGAAGAGGTCGGATTCCGGAAACTCTGGAGAGGTTGGATCCCTGAGACTGCGGAGAGATAGGATCTCTGAACACACTGAAGAGGTGGAATCCCTGGAACTCTGGAGATACAGGGATCAGACAGGAGGGCAGGAACAGGGAAAAACACTAAGGAGCCAGCTACTCACTGAGTGGAGCCAAGAGTGTACCACCAAGTCTGCAGAACAAACAATCTGGCACCAAGCAAAAGGACACCGGGGTACTTGAGGGCTGAGACTTATGAGGTGATAGGGAGCAGGTGAGGCAGAGCACAGGTGAGGTGATTGGAGGCCACACCCTCATCAGGCACACACAGAGAAGGGGGAGGAGCAAAGGGAGCAGAGCCATGACAAACATAATATCATGTTTATGTTTAACAAAATCCATCTCCACACCCTCACAGATTTCCTTCATCATCTACCTGGTTGATTACAAACACCTCAAGATTAATGACTGGTACACTTACCCTGACTGGGCGTACGCACTAGGATGGACCATGACACTCTCCTCTGTTCTCATGGTGCCACTGTGGGCAGCTGGACAGATGTGTTTGACAGCAGGGACCTTCAGACAGGTCAGTGTCCATCTGTTACAGCCTAAACAATATGCTTCTCTTTTCTAAGACAATGAAAGTCTTCTTCTATCACTCAATAAGCTGCATGTGCAGCTTGTTTTTGGTATTAGTCAATCAACAGGTCCAAAGAATCTAAAAGATAATCTAAAATGTCTCCTGTAATTGTCCTAATGATTATGATACTATGTAAACGTACTCATTGGTTTGTTCCTGTGCTCCAGCGTTTGTCCGTTCTTTGTCGTCCTGCTGAAGATCTAGCCTGGCAGAGGAGAAACATTGGAGAGGAGGGAGCAACTGTTGAACTGACGACGTCAGCAGTGACAACTTAGTGTGACCTGCAAAGTCACATTAACTGAACATCACAGCTATCATAGTGTATAATCTTATTGTAATCAATGTAGCTCTAGCTGTATGTAGCTGTCAACTTGAGCTCTGGAAAGTTGCGATGGGTGTTTCTCTGTGTTTGTTTTGACATCTTGACTTAATGGGCAACCTGATGAATAAGAATACTTCTTTCCAAATCTGCACTTTGGTCTGGGTCTTTATTTACTACTCACATTTCAAAGTATTGGTTGAACCTACCCACTGAACTACTTATAGAGTTTTGGTCTGATACAAGGCTTGGATTGTTAAAATTACACTTGCTCTTAGTATCTCAAATTATGATGCAAAGCATCAATACCTGTTTAGAAAGCTGTATCACTGGGTGAATATGACACCATTAAGATTCAATGTGCTAATTATTGATTTCATTTAAATAAAACTGAATTAACTGTTTGAGTAGACTTCAGTTTAAGAGGGTTCTTGTTACAAGGATATCTTTGCACCATAACAAAGCTTATGAAAACAATGTGATAAGATACAAATGTAATTTATAGGAGAGAGGGTTGTATAAGAGGAACAAAATGGCTCTTCAAGAGCTCCTCGGGGTTAAAAACCCAAAAACACAACAAAACACAAGAGAGTTCGGACCAGGATGTAGTGACATTAAGAAAAGATACATAATTAAATCAACAAATATCAGTTTGCTTATACTGTGTATTTAAATGTATTCTTTCAAATTAAGTCAGGATTAGTGACTCTTTAATAAGTCCTCCTGGCTCTTGACAAACAGCAAGGTAACACCTCCACACTGGAACTTGTTTCGTATTTTAGGATAGTTTATAGACTGAGGGCAGGATAAAGTCAAATTAAGAAAATACACATAATAAAAGCAGCAGAGATCAGTTTGCAGCATTTTGGAATTATAACTGAAACACAACAGAGAACATACTTGATCTTGAGATGAACAGACAAAGAAGAAAAACAGAAAATCAGAAGAGTGCTGGAGACAGAGGACAGTGGGCCAGTAAAAGAGAATATGTTCTGGTTATGTCAGGAAATGTGGTCGGTCTGGGCAACGTGTGGAGATTTCCTTACCTCTGCTACAAGAACGGTGGAGGTGAATATTATAAACTCTCGTTTTAGTGAATGAGTTGCATTATTAACGGTCTAGGGCACTGAAAGCAATATTGATGATTGGAGAAAGAATATCACTGAACTAATCTGTCATCATCACGGGCAAATATGTTCCTAATATCTATAGGTGCCTTTCTGGTGCCGTATGGTCTGCTAGCTGTGGTGTGTGGGATACCTCTGTTCCTACTGGAGGCTTCAGTAGGTCAGTACACTCAGGAAGGATTCATCACATCTTGGAGGAAAATGTGTCCACTGATGCAAGGTGAGTTGAATCCAAAATGTGCAGTCAACAGGTGGAAGCCCAAATCACGGTTTATACATGAGGACATTTTTCTCCAAAAATGATTCAAGCTGTTTTGCCAATGTTTTATTCTTCAACAGGAGCTGAACTGTGTTCTGTATTTCTATTGCAGGAATTGGATATGGACAACTGATGATTACACTCTGTTTCTTCATCTATATTTTAATTGAAGTCTGGGCTCTCCTCTACCTGGTGTTCTCATTCAGATCTCAGCTCCCCTGGGCCAGCTGTGAGAACACCTGGAATACAGGTAAGACTTTTAAGAAAGAGAGACCTTTAAGTATTTAAGTTGGATACACAACCAACTGTAACTTATACAGAAGTGTAGCTGAATCGATTAGCTGATTGACAGAAAACTAATTATTTGGTTATTGTCAAATGTAATTTCCCATGTATAAACATTTCACGGCTCCAGCTTCACAAATGTGAAAATTTGCACATTTTTCTTTAAATACTTTTGAGGTTTGGACTCTTGCTTGGATACAACAAGCATTGTGAAGGTGTCTCTTTGGGCTCTGGGCAATTTTAACTGCATTTCTCACTAATTTGAGAATTTGGTGTGGTACTTTTTCTTAAGTAAAGGATCTGTATATTCCACCAGTGACGATAAGCCACCAGGTTGCCAGGTTAACACACAAACAACTTCACATCATCCCTACAATTCTCAGCATTCAGTTGACTTCACCCTCAATGAAACATTTGTTTGTTCCCAAACCCAGCTAACTGTCTTGGTCTTCAGACTTTCAATTCATCTAATGTGACAGCAAATCAGACCAACACCACTTCTGCTGCAACTGAGTTCTGGGAGTGAGTGTAACTTCTTTTTTTTTTTATAAATTAAATGTATATGTTTGTATTACTGTTAATGTTGGTTCTCATTCTGTTTTCATGTTATTCACTTGTTCTGATTCTTCAAGTACTTGGAGTTAAAGGTTTCTAAAAGTTTATGTACTCGGAACAAGAACATGAAACATTTCAAGGACTCTCTGGTGTTGATCTGTTTGCTATTGGTTATAATTCACAATGGCAGTTGCTCTCTGATGCATCTCTTCAGCAATTTGGGTCAAATCACGTCTACCTGTTGGATTTCCCCTCTGTCTCAGACGGCGGGTGCTGGGTATGTCTGGAGGCATTGAGGATCTGGGCAGTGTGAGATGGGAGCTGGCTTTGTGTCTTCTGGCCTGCTGGATGTTCTGCTACTTCAGTATCTGGAAAGGTGTCAGATCTTCTGGAAAGGTCCTGTGGAAACATTTTAAATCTTTATCTATCTGTGGTGCATATAATCATCAATAACCTTTGTCTTAACATTTTCATTTAAGGTAGCATATTTCACAGCCACTTTCCCCTACGTGACGCTCCTGATCCTACTCATTAGAGGATTGACTCTACCTGGAGCTTGGGACGGGATCTACTACTACCTGTATCCAAACCTGAACCGCCTGGCAAACCTTGAGGTGGTCTGTTTACTTGATCCCAGCATTAGAATTACTTGGTTATCAAGAAAAGGTAATATAATTTTGAATATATAAGAGATGTGACATCTCCGAACCTCGTCTAAAAGCAAAAGTATTCATAGCTGTTCGGAACAACCACATTAGAATCACGCTGCATCAAGTGGGCATGGTTGTCAAATTGTCTGCTCTGGAAAGTTACACAATTTATTGGATGTTGTCCTCCCCAATTCCAACATCAGAAAGTGGGGTTCAGGCACTGTTAGATGATTTGACATGCATTTTGTTTCATGCATACTGAGGCCTTAATTTCGATACTTTAGTGTATTGGGATTGGTTCACCTGCAGGGAAATGGCGGGCTAGCTCTCGGGGTCCTCCTGATTTATCAACGTTATTGAACAGTATGTAATATACCATCTTTTTATATTACAGGTGTGGATAGAAGCAGGATCTCAAATATTTTTTTCCTACAGTCTGACTGCCGGGTTTCTAAATGTCATAGCCAGCTATAATGAGTACAACAACAACTGTTACAAGTACGTATGAACCAAATATCACAACTTTGATACGGGTTTTAGAAGAAGATTTTGTCAGATTGCAGACTAATTAAAAGACAAGATTAAGAAGAGATGGCAGGTCCTCTCTCTGATAAGGGTCTGTTGTCTTTCTCTGACCTCCAGGGACTGCTTCTGGCTCTGTCTGCTGAACAGTGGGACCAGTTTTGTTGCTGGATTTGTGGTTTTCTCTGTTCTTGGATTCATGGCTCACAAACAGGGTGTTACTGTTGACACTGTGGCTGAGTCAGGTAGGGTATATTCAAAGACTTCATCAAATGCAATGTTTAATTAGTCAATTATCCAATGTTCTAACATAAATAGGTATATTTTTTGATTCTCCTCGTTCACTTGACAGGTCCAGGTTTGGCCTTCATTGTTTACCCTCAGGCAACAGCTATGATGCCTTTGCCACAGTTCTGGACAGTCTGCTTCTTCCTGATGCTTATTCTACTGACTGTTGACACACATGTAATCACATCTGTCACATTACTTTTTGACAAATAACAGATGTTTGTCAGACACAAATCAAATTGTTTGTTGGTTTTATTTTGTCCCCAGTTTGTGATTGTGGAGAGTTTTATCACCACAGTGAGCGATTTGTTTCCGAAATGGTTTCGTGCACCAGTGAGGCACGAGATCTTTGTCCTCATCATCTGTGTATCCAGCTTCCTCATACATCTTACCTTGGTTACTGAGGTGAACACAAATATCTTCATGAAACCTTCTTTATAAAACTTAGATATTGTAACATTTCATTTAAAACTGTATTTCAACTTGTCTTTTTTCAAATCTCGTCTCTTCCTGCTTCAGGGAGGAATTTACATATTCCAACTCATTGACTTCTACGGCTCTACTAGAGTCTGTCAGAATTTTATGGCTATTTGTGAATGCCTGGCAGTGGGCTGGATTTTTGGTGAGTCAGATTACTAGAGCATAAGGCTGGCCCACTAGTATTTGTCCGTCTCTATGTCAGTTCTCACTTCCTTACCTCTTCTGCCCCAAACCTGTTGGTTGTTACTGAAGACACAAATCTTTAAAAAACTTTCAAAAAGATCCAGTTTAATTTTTAAAAATGGTCAAACTGCAAGAAATATTTCACTTGGGACTATTTTCACTGGTAGATTAATAAAAATTGAGTTTGTAGTATTAGTAAAATGCAAAATATCAACAGCCATATTCTTTAATTTTAACATTTTGACAACATATAACTGTAAATTGGACTTCCATCAGGTGCTGACCGCTTTTCTAACATCATTGAGGACATGACAGGACAGAGACCGTCTGTTTTCTTCAAGCTGTGCTGGAAATACATAATTCCTCTGCTGTCATTGGTGAGTCAGAAAGTTTCTTTGTTGCTACCAAAGATTTTACATTGATTCATTAACTTTGGCAGTTTATTCAGTAAATATGAGTGAGATTTGTCAGAGAAGTACTGCTGGATTTTGTGCTGCTGGATTTGCTGCATTATTTGTGTGGCTTCAATAGATTGTGACTTAACGGGCCAGCAAACTCCAACTGTCTGTAAATGTGACTTTTACATTGCCAAACTTTGTTTTGCACAATCTACCACAAGTACAGATGATGCAGCTTAATTCATCAATACAATATTGTGTTCATGTTTAACAAAATCCATCTCCACACCCTCACAGATTTCCTTTATCCTCTACCTGGTTGATTACAAACACCTCAAGATTAATGACTGGTACACTTACCCTGACTGGGCGTACGCACTAGGATGGACCATGACACTCTCCTCTGTTCTCATGGTGCCATTGTGGGCAGCTGGACAGATGTGTTTGACAGCAGGGACCTTCAAACAGGTCAGTATCCACCCGTTACAGCCTAAACAATATGCTTCTCCTTTCTGAGACAATGAAAGTCTCCTTCTATCACTCAATAAGCTGCAGCTTGTTTTTGGTATTGGTCAATCAAAAGGTCCAAAGAATCTAAAAGATGGTCTAAAATCTCCTGTAATTGTCCTTGTGATTACGATACTACTAACATACTCATTGGTTTGTTCCTGTGCTCCAGCGTTTGTCTGTTCTTTGTCGTCCTGCTGAAGATCTAGCCTGGCAGAGGAGAAACATTGGAGAGGAGGGAGCAACTGTTGAACTGACGACGTCAGCAGTGACAACTTAGTGTGACCTGCAAAGTCACATTAACTCAACATTACAGCTATCATAGTGTATAATCTTATTGTAATCAGTGTAGCTCTAGCTGTATGTAGCTGTCATCTTGAGCTCTGGAAAGTTGTGATGGGGGTTTCTTTGTGTTTGTTTTGAAATCTTGACTTAATGGGCAATCTGATTAATAATTATAATACTTCTTTCGAAATCTGAACTTTGGTCTGAGTCTTTATTTACCACTTTACTTTACTCACATTTTCAAGTATTGGTTGAACCTACCCACTGATCTATTTATATAGTTCACATGCTGGTCTGGTACAAGGCTTGGATGTTTTTAGTAGCTCAAATTATGATGCAAAGCATCAATACCTGTTTAGAAAGCTGTATCACTGAGTGAATATGGTACCATTAAAATTAAATGCGCTAATGATGGATTTCCTTTAAATAAAACTGAATTAACTGTTTGAGTAGACTTCATTTTAACACGGTTCTTGTTAAAGGATGTCTTTGCAACATAATAAAGCTAATGAAAACAATGTTATAATATTCAAATGTGATTTCTAAGAGAACAACATGGCTCTTCAAGACATTAAAAGACAGAAAAGACACATAATTAAGTCAACAAAGATCAGTTTGCTTATACTGTGTATTTAAATGTATTATTTCAAATTAAGTCAGGATTGCTAACTCTTCAATAAGTCCCCCTGGCTCTTGACAAACAGCCCGGTAGACACCTCCACACTGGAACTGGTTTTGTATTTTATGATAGTTTATAGGCTGAGGGCAGGATAAAGTCAAATTAAGAAAAGACATAATAAAAACAGCAGAGATCAGTTCACAGTACTTTGGAATTATAACTGAAACACAACGGATAACATACTTGATTTTGAGATGGACGGACAAAGAAGAAAAACAGAAAAACAGAAGAGGGCTGGAGACAGAGGACAGTGGGCCAGTAAAAGAGAATATATTCTGGTTGTTGCAGGAAGTGTAGTCGGTCTGGGCAACGTGTGGAGATTCCCTTACCTCTGCTACAAGAACGGTGGAGGTGAATTTCATAAACTTTGTTTTTAATAAAGTTATATTATTCTGGGTGGTGCGCACCAAAACAAGATTAATATTGATGGTTAGTATGTGAACAGATATTCCGTCTGTATAATTTTTATACAACTATAGGTGCCTTTCTGGTGCCATATGGTCTGTTAGCTGTGGTGTGTGGGATAACTCTGTTCCTACTGGAGAGTTCAGTTGGTCAGTACACTCAGGAAGGATTCATCACCTGCTGGAGGAAAATGTGTCCACTGGCACAAGGTGAGTTGATTGTGTTCAGATATATTCAGCATAAAAAATATTAATATATATATAAATATAATATACTAATACCAACTTGAAAAATTTAAAGATTACTCTGATAATTCACAGACATATTTAAACCATCTCCAATAATTAAAAAATGTATACCCAACAAAATGGTTAACTCTGCTTATCATTTGTTTTTTAGGAATTGGATATGGAAATTTTATAATGAAACTGTATGAGTTCAACTACATTATAATCCAAGTCTGGGCTCTCCTCTACCTGGTGTTCTCATTCAGATCCCAGCTCCCCTGGGCCAGCTGTGAGAACACCTGGAATACAGGTAAAGTTACGGTAGACTATAAAACACTATGTGTTAATGTGTATAAAAGCAGTTCCTCAAACTGACTTTTTTTTTTCTTCTCTCAACCAGCGAACTGTATGGGTATTTAGATCTTTGATTCTCTGACAAATCAGACCGTGCTGACAAACACCACCTCTGCTGCTACCGAGTTCTGGGAGTGAGTTTTCATACATTCAGAAAAACTATTTAGAAATGTTCACACAACTGCTTAAACTCCTAGTGAATCATAATCCAAGTCAGGTATCCACTTCTCCTCTGATATAATTATGAAAAATCCTATGGATAATGTCTATAAATCATAATTTCTTGTCATATCATGTGTATCTCTTAAACGTCCCCTCAGACGGCGAGTGCTGGGCATGTCTGGAGGCATTGAGGATCTGGGCAGTGTGAGATGGGAGCTGGCTTTGTGTCTTCTGGCCAGCTGGATGTTCTGCTACTTCAGTATCTGGAAAGGTGTCAGATCTTCTGGAAAGGTCCTCTGAAAACATTTTAAATCTTTATCTATCTGTGGTGCATATAATCATCAATAACCTTTTACAATTTTCTTTCAATTTAAGGTAGCGTATTTCACAGCCACGTTCCCCTACGTGATGCTCCTGATCCTACTCATTAGAGGCTTGACTCTACCTGGAGCTTGGGACGGGATCTACTACTACCTGTATCCAAACCTGAACCGCCTGGCAAACCTTGAGGTGGCCTGTTTACTTGATCCCAAAGTTACAATTAGAATTTTAAACACACTGAGGCCTTAATTTAAATGGTTGGTTGGCTCTTGTTTGACATCCTCCACCTTCTGTTGTGTGATCTTTACATTATAATCCTTGGAATGTGGGGTCTGACCAGGAGTCCTTCTCCTGAATTGGGCCCCTATTTGTCAAGCATCTCAGAATTACTGCTAGAAATCAACTTTTCTTACATTACAGGTCTGGATAGAAGCAGGATCTCAAATATTTTTCTCCTTCAGCCTGACTACAGGGAGTCTAAATGTCCTGGGCAGCTATAATGAGTACAACAACAACTGTTACAAGTAGGTATATCTAAGACATTACAACTTTGATATGACAATACATGTGGTTGGTTTTAGAAGGAGGTCTTGACAAGTTACAGACTAATTAAAAGTGTAGGAATGTCCTCTCTCTGACGAGGGTCTTTTGTCTTTCTGTGACCTCCAGGGACTGCTTCTGGCTCTGTCTGCTGAACAGTGGGACCAGTTTTGTTGCTGGATTTGTTGTCTTCTCTGTACTTGGATTCATGGCTCAAAAACAGGATGTTACTGTCGACAATGTGGCTGAGTCAGGTACAGTATATTCAAAGATTTCATCAAATTAAATGTTTAATTAAAGCTGCAAGCAACAATGAACAAGCCCTTGCTTCTGCACATGCCAGAGTGTGCTGCGGTTGGGTTACACACTACAGTGTTTCCTGTAAGATTTTTTTTAGCAGTGGGGGCAGGGCCGTCGGAACACCCCACCCCCCTCCATAAGTGACACTTCGCTGCGACACAAACAAATATATTTACCGTTTTAATCTTTCAGATGTTTGATATCAGGACGTAGAGCTGAGAACTGACAAGCTGAACGTTGTCCAATTAAAACGGACCCACCGCGGTGACTTTTGGTGGAGCTGTTAGTTTAATAGTCAACTTGGAAGAAAGCGAACATTGTGGAGTTAAACTGGACAGCCCCAATAACCTCTGAATAGTTCTACTTGTTGTTAAATTGCAATGTGAGCGGCAGCCAACGGGGGTGCATTATGTCGGCAGGATCATTTAAAAGGCAACTGTGACTACATTGTATGTCTGCCCCATTTCTGAGACCGTGGCGGCAGATATTTAACAGCAGCGGGCTGCCACTCCAAAATCAACATACAGGAAACACTGCACTAGTACATCATGGGAACACCAAGCCATCAACATTTCATGTAAATCACATCACAATCGCCATACAAGGCTTACTTCTTCTTGCCAGTAGGTGGCACTATGACAGTGACTGAATGTTGGCACTTGGATGTGTTCAGACCAGGGCTCTTATCAAACTAATGAAGGTTGGGGCCAATTGGAGAATCTATACAGAAGTTATGTTTAGCACTAGGGTAAGGGTTGTGTTTAGGGTTAAACAGTAGGAGGTTCTATGGCAATGAGCGAATATTAGCATGCAGATGTATTCATGCAAATAACGTATACATAGTAAATATGTAAAATTTGACGCTGTTTTCAGAATGGATACTGAACTAAGAGCTAGGGTTTCCTTTGTAATGGCCAAACACCGATTTTTGAGTGGACACCACGGACACACCGTTTGACCAAATGTCAAGATTTGTATAACTTTTCATCTTGAACTTCTTTAGAGTGTACTTGCCATTCTGATTAATTCCTCGGGAGGAGTGCAATAAAATAGAAGCCCCGAAATTGGCAGAAATGGTGCCAAAATTTGACATAAAACCGACTTCCTGTTGGATTTAGGATATGGCTCCAAGTCTGACACAATGCAATGGAAACAACCTTCAACGAAAACTCACCACATTCATCACATGCCATCAACAATGTTTTGCGTCTTCTGGCCAAATTTCAGCTGGATCTGATCAACCTGCTAGGAGTAGAACATGAAAGTATAAAACATGTCATTTTTTTCCCAAGTGTAGGACCAACAGACTCAAGAACTTCTTTGTCCCTCATGCCATCATACTCTACAACTCCTCACTTGGGGGGAGGAGGAAATAGGGTAAAGAGGAAAGAAGGGAAGGAGTGGTAGCCACTCACTGTGCAATAGTAATTTACTCATACATACCTGGACACTCTTCTTCTTTCTTGTGGAATAACTTAATCCACCGCTTAAGTGCAATAATTTAATTTAACTGCTAATTTCTGCTAATGTCATTTATCCAGTGTATAATAACACAATGCCATATACATTCCTATATATTTATCTGTATTTATCCTCTATACAGTTCTCTACATTTATTTTATTTTATTTTATTTTACTTGAATTTAATTTAAATTTATTCTTATCTCTACTTTCTATATATTGCTAAGAGTTTATTGTTTATTGTTTACTTTCTATATTAGCTAAGAGTTTATTGTTTATCTTATACTGTATTTTTTTATACCTCTTTTATTTTAGTTTATATAAGTGTTTTGTAAACTGCTGGAAATTCAATTTCCTTGAGGGAGTTATCCCAAAGTGATCAATAAAGAGAAGTCTAAGTCTAAGTCTATTGTCTATTGCCAGTAGGGGGTGCTATGGGTATGAGTGAATATTGTCAAATAGATGTGTTCACAGCTGGAGTCTTATCAGACTTGTGAAGTTTAGTGCAGATTAGACAAAGTACACTGAAGTTATAACAACTTCCTGTTTCATGGTGAAACATGGAAATTTGGCACCATGCCACGGAAACGTCCTCTGACGAAAAGTCAAGATTTTGATCGTGATGGTCTTTAGGCTGCACTGACCAAATTTGAGGCCTATCCGATAAATTCCCTAGGAGGAGTTTGTTCAAATACCACACGTGCTAAATCCTGTTGGGGTTGAGCTAGGACTACAAGATGCTTTTTTGTTCATCTGGATCTACATGTGTACGTTGCGGCTGCTCAATAGGGGGTTGTCGAGCCAATTTTCTGCTCTACTGCTTGAGACCCATAGAATATGTAATTTTTAGCCATGACTGACATGTGTGCCGCGTTTCATGAGATTCAGAACATGTTGTGGCATCCAAAAATGAGATTTACTTTTACCAACAATAATAATAAGACTACGAACAAATACAATAGGGCCTTTGCACTAGTTAGTGCTCGGGCCCTAATTAGTAAATTATCCAAAGATGAACACAATGTTCTAACATGAATAGGTATAATTTTTGCTTCTCCTCGTTCACTTCACAGGTCCAGGTTTGGCCTTCATTGCTTACCCTCAAGCAACAGCTATGATGCCTTTGCCACAGTTCTGGACAGTCTGCTTCTTCCTGATGCTTATTCTATTGACTGTTGACACACATGTAATAACATCTGTCACATTACTTTTTGACAAATAACAGATGTTTGTCAGACACAAATCAAATTGTTTGTTGGTTTTATTTTGTCCCCAGTTTGTGATTGTGGAGAGTTCTATCACCACAGTGAGCGATTTGTTTCCGAAATGGTTTCGTGCACCAGTGAGGCACGAGATCTTTGTCCTCATCATCTGTGTATCCAGCTTCCTCATACATCTTACCCTGGTTACTGAGGTGAACACAAATATCTTAATGAAACCTTCTTTTTAATACTAATTTAGATATAATAACATTTCATTCAAATGTTTATTAAAATCTCTTCTCTTCCTGCTTCAGGGAGGAATTTACATATTCCAACTCATTGACTTCTATGGCTCTACCAGAGTCTGTCAGAATTTTATTGCTATTTGTGAATGCCTGGCAGTGGGCTGGATTTTTGGTGAGTCAGATTACGTATACATTTATAGTTTTCTATTGTATCCTATTAAAAGGCCAAAATCAACAATGGATTAGTTCATCTCTCAGTACGTTCTCACTTTGTTGTCTATGATTTTCACCCCAAGCCCATGTTGGTTGTTACTGAAGACGTGCATTTTTAAAAAACTGTCAGAAATATCTAGATTCATTTTTAAAAAGGCTCAATAATTTCCTAAAACACCTGTGCACCATAGCTTTTAGTCAACATTAATCAAACTGGAAGAAATAGTGCATTTGTTAGGGACTATTTTCAGTGGTGGATTAATACACATTTCGGTCTTATCATTGAATTTATTTAGTAAAGGTCCAGTGTCTAACATTTTGGAGGATCTATTGGCAGAAATTAAATCTAATATTCATATGTATGTTTTCATTTGTGTATAACCACCTTAATATAGGAAGATTGATCACATCAACTGAACGAGGGCAAATTCTTTTATTCAGCTGTCTTAATCACACTGTTGTCTGTGTATTTTGCTGCACATTTCAAATAGTGACTAAATTGACAATTTTGATTTCAGGTGCTGACCAGTTCTCTAACATCATTGAGGACATGACAGGACAGAGACCGTCTGTTTTCTTCAAAGTGTGCTGGAAATACATCATTCCTCTGCTGTCACTGGTGAGTCAGAAAGTTTCTTTGTTGCTACCAAAGATTTTACATTGATTCATTAACTTTGGCAGTTTATTCAGTAAATATGAGTGAGATTTGTCAGAGAAGTACTGCTGGATTTTGTGCTGCTGGATTTGCTGCATTATTTGTGTGGCTTCAATAGATTGTGACTTAACGGGCCAGTCAGAAAATTTCTTTGTGGCTACCAATGGTTTTACATTCCTTCATTAACTTTTGTTTAGAGAATTTGAGTAAGATTTGTCAAAGCAGTACTGCCTGATTTTCTTGATTATTTGTGTTAATTTCACACTTTCATCTTCCAGCATAATTAATTCTTGGCTTAACTTATCTGTGACGTTTATAGTGCCGAAACTATATTTGCACCATCTACCACAAGTACAGATGATGTAACTGAATTCATCAACATAATATTATGTTTATGTTTAACAAAATCCATCTCCACACCCTCACAGATTTCCTTCATCCTCTACCTGGTTGATTACAAACACCTCAAGATTAATGACTGGTACACTTACCCTGACTGGGCTTACGTACTAGGATGGACCATGACACTCTCCTCTGTTCTCATGGTGCCACTGTGGGCAGCTGGACAGATGTGTTTGACAGCAGGGACCTTCAGACAGGTCAGTGTCCATCTGTTACAGCCTAAACAATATGCTTCTTTTTTCTAAGACGATGAAAGTCTTCTTCTATCACTCAATAAGCTGCATGTGCAGCTTGTTTTTGGTATTGGTCAATCAAAAGGTCCAGAGAATCTAAAAGATAATCTAAAATGTCTCCTGTAATTGTCCTAATGATTATGATACTATGTAAACGTACTCATTGGTTTGTTCCTGTGCTCCAGCGTTGGTCCGTTCTTTGTCGTCCTGCTGAAGATCTAGCCTGGCAGAGGAGAAACATTGGAGAGGAGGGAGCAACTGTTGAACTGACGACGTCAGCAGTGACAACTTAGTGTGACCTGCAAAGTCACATTAACTCAACATTACAGCTATCATAGTGTATAATCTTATTGTAATCAGTGTAGCTATAGCTGTATGTAGCTGTCATCCTGAGCTCTGGACAGTTGTGATGGGTGTTTCTCTGTGTTTGTTTTGACATCTTGAGTTAATGGGCAATCTGATGAATAATTATAATACTTCTTTCCAAATCTGCACTTTGGTCTGAGTCTTTATTTACTACATTACTACTCACATTCTGAAGTGTGGGTTGAACCGAGGGTTGTAGAAGAGGAACAAGATGGCTGTTTAAGAGCTCCTCAGGGTTAAAACCCAACATCACACCTAAACACCAGAATGAAAGGACTTGGTGGGTTCAGACCAGGATGTAGTGACATTAAGAAAAGACACATAATTAAATCAACGATTCGGTTTGCTTCTACTGTGTATTTAACTGTATTCTTTCAAATTAAGTCAGGATTGCTAACTCTTTAATAAGTCCCCCTGGCTCTTGACAAACAGCCCGGTAGACACCTCCACGCTGGAACTGGTTTGCTATTCAAATATAATTTATAGGTTGAGGGCAGGATGAAGTCAAATTAAGAAAAGACACATAATAAAAGCAGCAGAGATCAGTTTGCAGCATTTTGGAATTATAATTGAAACACAAGGGGTTAATTGATCTTGAGATGAACAGACAAAGAAGAAAAACAGAAAAACAGAAGAGGGCTGGAGACAGAGGACAGTGGGCCAGTAAAACTGAATATATTCTGGTTGTTGCAGGAAATGTGGTTGGTTTGGGCAACGTGTGGAGATTTCCTTACCTCTGCTACAAGAATGGTGGAGGTGAATATTATAAATGTTTTTAGTAGAGTTGCATTATTCTGGGTGGTGTGCACCAAAATAAGTATTGATGGTTAGTATGTGAAAAGATATTCCATCTGTATAATATTTATACACCTATAGGTGCCTTTCTGGTGCCGTATGGTCTGTTAGCTGTGGTGGTTGGGTTACCTCTGTTCCTACTGGAGAGTTCAGTAGGTCAGTACACCCAGGAAGGATTCATCACCTGCTGGAGGAAGCTGTGTCCACTGGCACAAGGTGAGTTGATGTGTGATGAAATGAAACTCATAGAAAATATTACATGATACTAATATTGACTTGAGAAATTAAAAGATAACTCTACTGATAATTCACAGATAATTTTAAACCATCTCCAGAGATTTAAAAATGTATAACCCTATTTGTTTTTTAGGAATTGGATATGGAAATACTATAATTAAACTGTATGACTTCAGCTACATTATAATTCAAGTCTGGGCTCTCCTCTACCTGGTGTTGTCATTCAGATCCCAGCTCCCCTGGGGCAGTTGTGAGAACACCTGGAATACAGGTAAAGTTACGGTAGCCTACGGAGTTTACTTTAATGTGTAAACCTTGCAAAAAGGTTCTATAATACCATTACAGTATATATGCACTTTTGTCCGGGGACCTTCATGTGTTAATGTCTGTAAAGTAATTTTACTATAATCTTTTGTTTATGCTCTTAACCAGTGAACTGTATGGGTCTTCAGATTCAGACAAATCATACCGTGCTGACAAACACCACCTCTGCTGCTACCGAGTTCTGGGAGTGAGTCTAAACACTGGGATCACTTTGTAACACTATGGCAAATGTACAGAAATCATAAATCCTAATTTCTTGTCATATTATGTCTTTCTTTTCTATATCCCCTATCCTCAGACGGCGAGTGCTGGGCATGTCTGGAGGCATTGAGGAGCTGGGCAGTGTGAGATGGGAGCTGGCTTTGTGTCTTCTGGCCAGCTGGATGTTCTGCTACTTCAGTATCTGGAAAGGTGTCAGATCTTCTGGAAAGGCCAGTGAATATTTGCACTAAAATGTTATAGTACATAGAAACCAGCATTATGCATTTTACTTATGTATTCTCTTCTGGTTATTAAAAATAATGTGTTTTTCTTTAAAAGGTAGCGTATTTCACAGCCACTTTCCCCTACGTGATGCTCGTAATACTGCTCATCAGGGGTCTGACTCTGCCTGGAGCTTGGGACGGGATCTACTACTACCTGTATCCAGACCTGAACCGCCTGGCAAACCTTGAGGTGGCCTATGTTAGCATGTATAGTATATGTACAGTTATTCTAGGTGAGGCTCGAGGAAGACAATCAAGCAGCGTCAGTAATCTTCAGTAAAGCTGTTCCTTTTCATTTGCTGAGTTTTGAATAATTTAAAAGACACATACTGAAGTCTGAAAAATAACAAAACAAACACGTACCTCTGAAACATCTGAAGACACAAGTATGATATTACTTCAGTAAGTATTATATGTAAATAATGTTCTTTTTGTGACATTATAGGTCTGGATAGAGGCAGGATCACAAATATGTTTTTCCTTCAGCGTGACTTTAGGAATTCTGAATGTTTTGGGAAGCTATAATGAGTACAATAACAACTGTTATAAGTAAGTATAATGCAAAACACAATCACTTATGTAAGAATACTTTCCTTTAAAAGTGTGTTGGCTGCAATAACCATTACCACCAACCACCACTAGTTGAGGCTAAGGGAAAATCTACTTTATATTTATTTAATACATAGCTTTTTTTAAAATTATCCTTTTAATCTCCATAGGATGGGCTTGATGACCAATACTATATTTTGGAAATGTCTGATAGAAACAGGAACATTTCTCCATGCAATTTTGGAGTGTAAACTTTTACACCAATTTGGATGATGTTTGGATGTTGTAACGACCCGGCCCGTTATGGAGAGCAGTAACATATAACTGGGATAGTAAATGAGGTGGAATGCGACAACTGGTCAGGTTCTGGTTAAAATCAGGCATTTATTTAACTAATGAGAGTGTGTTTGCACAGGGAAATGTAACAGAAAAAGGGAGACTATATAGATGCTGATAGATAACGCAAAATGAAGTAGAATAAATGACAATTACTTAGCTCAAAAATACACTAAAACACAAAAAGAGGTCAGCACCCATAAGCTCAAAAATACAATGAACAAAAAAAAACTAGCAGTTATTCTGCAACTTAAATGTCTCAAACAAAAGGGAGTCCAACTCTAGGTACTCTGAATCAAACTAAATGAACTCCAAAGATTCCAAAGAACACTGACTGAAACCACTCAGGCAACAGCCAGGCAACACTAAAGGAATACAAGCACTCTAAACACTCTAAACACAATAGTACGCAACCAACAGCAAGGCGAACTGATCACTGGTTCGCAGCCACCCTGAACTGTGGACACACAAGCTATTTAAGTGCAGCTGGGGTTGATTGAAGACTGCTGATTGGTAGGTTCAGTCAAATCACAGCCACACCAATCACAGATGCCAGGGAACAGCAACCAGGAAGTAGGCGGTCTCAGCTCAAGAAGGACCAATCCTCGAGGGGATCACAGATGAATTGGCATACCCGGCAGGATCACTCATGGAAACAAATACACACTAAAGGGCAGCCAGTGGCGGCTGTAACAATGTCTTTTAACTAGAGGTCTCTGTTCACCTGTCTATGAATTCCCATTTTAAATTGAAGACACATTATTGCAAATGTCTCTCTGATAAGGGTCTGTTGTCTTCCTGTGACCTCCAGGGACTGTTTCTGGCTCTGTCTGCTGAACAGTGGGACCAGTTTTGTTGCTGGATTTGTGGTCTTCTCTGTTCTTGGATTCATGGCTCACAAACAGGGTGTTACTGTTGACAGTGTGGTTCAGTCAGGTAAGGTTTTAATATGACATGATGTTGAAATCCCATACTGAGTGTAGATACAAATAACTTTCTCTTTTTTGTTGAATTTCCTATTCACAGGTCCAGGTTTGGCCTTCATCGCTTACCCTCAGGCAACAGCTATGATGCCTTTGCCACAGTTCTGGACTGTCTGCTTCTTCCTGATGCTTTTTTTCCTCAGTGTTGACACACATGTAAGCTGTTTAGATGTTATACTCATTGATAAATTAAAAATGTACAGCAGGCACCAACAATGGTTTTCTCATTTTATTTAATCGCGCAGTTTGTGACAGTAGAGGGTTTTATCACCTCAATAAGCGACTTGTTTCCGAAGCTGTTTCGTAAATCTGGAAGACATGAAATCTTTGTCCTTGTCATCTGCTTGTTCTTCTTCCTCATACACCTGATGTTGGTTACTGAGGTGAATAAAACACTTCCATGACAGTATATTCAAACAACTATTGTCACAAAATATAAAAAAATACACATTTAAATCGATTTCTTATATTCAAATCTGGTCTCCACCTGCTGTAGGGAGGGATTTACATATTCCAGCTTATCGATTATTATGGCACGACCAGAGCATGTCATTATTTCATGGCTTTATCCGAGTGTCTGGCTCTGGCCTGGAGTTTTGGTAAGCAAAAAATTTTGCATTTATATGCACCATGGTTAGACTAGTTGCATTGCCTGAATATAACCAAACGTTTTATTCTTCCTCTTATTTTAGCAACTATACTCTGTAATAGTAATACAAGAACTTTATATTTCTTTTAAACTGGTCTAATGTACATTCTGTGAATTTCCATAAGGTGCTGATCGTATTATTAACATCATTGAGGACATGACAGGACACAGACCTTCAGTTTTCTTCAAACTGTGCTGGAAATACATCATTCCTCTGCTGTCACTGGTGAGTCAGAAAGGTTTTGAAATGTAGTTATATTATACTCTAATAACAAGACTAAAAGTCTACAGTCAAACTAGCAGCACTGTACATGGGCAAATTGTTAACACTTCATATTTTCCTTTAGCGATTGATGGTAGATGAAAGGGTAAAGAATCACCAAAGATAATTAATTTACCATTTGATAGGCGCTAGAGGAAAAGGTCAGTAGGGTTCATCTTCTGAAGACCATAAATATAAAATTCAATTCTTGTTCAGATGTTTCAGGATGATCCAAAATGGTGGACCAACTAACTGCCATTGCTATACCACACTGCACATTTGTGCAGAATAATTAGATTAGAAAGGGTTTCTGTACATTTTGTAAGGTCAACATTTTTTTGTTATACTTACTGAACCTTCAGACTTCCTTCATCCTCTACCTGGTTGATTACAAACACCTCAAGATTAATGACTGGTACACTTACCCTGACTGGGCTTACGCACTAGGATGGACCATGACACTCTCCTCTGTTCTCATGGTGCCACTGTGGGCAGCTGGACAGATGTGTTTGACTGCAGGGACCTTCAGACAGGTCAGTGTCCATCTGTTACAGCATAAATAATATACTTCTTGCTTTTGGTATTGGTCAATCAACAGGTCCAAAGAATCTAAAAGATAATCTAAAATGTCTCCTGTAATTGTCCTAATGATTATGATACTATGTAAACGTACTCATTGGTTTGTTCCTGTGCTCCAGCGTTTGTCCGTTCTTTGTCGTCCTGCTGAAGATCTAGCCTGGCAGAGGAGAAACATTGGAGAGGAGGGAGCAACTGTTGAACTGACGACGTCAGCAGTTACAACTTAGTGTGACCTGCAAAGTCATATTAACTGAACATAACAGCTATCATAGTGTATAATCTTATTGTAATCAATGTAGCTCTAGCTGTATGTAGCTGTCATCTTGATCTCTGGAAAGTTGTGATGGGTGTTTCTCTGTGTTTGTTTTGACATCTTGAGTTAATGGGCAATCTGATGAATAATTATAATACTTCTTTCCAAATCTGCACTTTGGTCTGGGTCTTTATTTACTACATTACTACTCACATTTTGAAGTATGGGTTGAACCTACCCACTGCACTATTTATAGAGTTCACATGCTGGTCTGATACAAGGCTTGGATTGTTAAAATTAAAATGTATGTTCTTAATATCTGTTTAGAAAGCTGTATCACTGAGTGAATATGGTCCCATTAAAATAAAATGTGCTAATGAGTAATTGCATTTAAATAAAACTGAATGAACTGTTTGAGTAGACTTCAGTTTAACAGGTTTCTTGTTACAAGGATATCTTTGCACCATAATGAAGCTAATGAAAACAATGTGATAAGATACAAATGTAATTTCTAGGAGAGAGGGTTGTATAAGAGGAACAAAATGGCTTTTTAAGAGCTCCTCAGGGTTAAAACCCAACATCACACCTAAACACCAGAATGAAAGGATATGCTGGGTTCAGACCAGGATGTAGTGACATTAAGAAAAGACACATAATTAAATCAACAAAGATCTGTTTCCTTATACTGTGTATTTAAATGTATTTAATAAATTATTACAAATTAAGTCAGGATTAGTGACTCTTTAATAAGTCCCCCAGGCTCTTGATAAACAGCAAAGTAGACGCCTCCACACTGGAACTTGTTTCATATTTCAGGATAGTTTATAGGTTGAGGGCAGGACAAAGTCAAATTAAGAAAATACACATAATAAAAGCAGCAGAGATCAGTTTGCAGCACTTTGGAATTATAACTGAAACACAACAGAGAACATACTTGATCTTGAGATGAACAGACAAAGACGAAAAACAGAAAATCAGAAGAGTGCTGGAGACAGAGGACGGTGGGCCAGTAAAAGAGAATATGTTCTGGTTATGTCAGGAAATGTAGTCGGTCTGGGCAACGTGTGGAGATTTCCTTACCTCTGCTACAAGAACGGTGGAGGTGAATATTATAAACTCTGGTTTTAGTGAATGAGTTGCATTATTAACGGTGTAGGGCACTGAAAGAAATATTGATGATTGGAGAAAGAATATCACTGAACTAATCGTCACGGGCAAATATGTTCCTAATATCTATAGGTGCCTTTCTGGTGCCGTATGGTCTGCTAGCTGTGGTGTGTGGGATACCTCTGTTCCTACTGGAAAGTTCAGTAGGTCAGTACACTCAGGAAGGATTTGTCACGTCTTGGAGGAAAATGTGTCCGCTGATGCAAGGTGAGTTGAATCCAAAATGTGCAGTCAACAGGAGGAAGCCCAAATCACGGTTTATACATGAGGAAGATTTTCTCCAAAAATGATTCAAGCTGTTTTGCCAATGTTTAATTCTTCAACAGGAGCCGATTTTATAACCATGGTCTGTATTACTCCTGTAGGAACTGGATATGGACAACTGATAATGTCACTTTGTTTCTTCATCTATATTTTAATTGAAGTCTGGGCTCTCCTCTACCTGGTGTTCTCATTCAGATCTCAGCTCCCCTGGGCCAGCTGTGAGAACACCTGGAATACAGGTAAGACTTTTAAGAAAGAGAGACCTTTAAGTATTTAAGTTGGATACACAACCAACTGTAACTTATATAGAAGTGTAGCTGAATCGATTAGCTGATTGACAGAAAACTAAATATTTGGTTTGTTGTCAAATGTAATTTCTCACGTACAAACATTTCACGGCTCCAGCTTCACAAATGTGAAAATTTGCTATTTTTTTTAAAAATAATTGAGTTTTAATAAGTGGACTCTTATTTAGATACAACAAGCATTGTGAAGGTGTCTCTTTGGGCTCTGGGCAATTCTAACTGCATTTCTCACTAATTTGAGAATTTGGTGCGGTACTTTTTCTTAAGTAAAGGATCTGTATATTCCACCAGTGACGATAAGCCACCAGGTTGCCAGGTTAACACACAAACAACTTCACATCATCCCTACAATTCTCAGCATTCAGTTGACTTCACCCTCAATGAAACATTTGTTTGTTCCCAAACCCAGCTAACTGTCTTGGTCTTCAGACTTTCAATTCATCTAATGTGACAGCAAATCAGACCAACACCACTTCTGCTGCAACTGAGTTCTGGGAGTGAGTGTAACTTCTTTTTTTTTTATAAATTAAATGTATATGTTTGTATTACTGTTAATGTTGGTTCTCATTCTGTTTTCATGTTATTCACTTGTTGTTGTTCACTGGTTCTTCAAGTACTTTTAGGTGAAGCTTTCTAAAAATGTATCTACTCAGAACAAGAACATGCAAAATTTCAAGGACTCTCTGGTGTTGATCTGTTTGCTATTGGTTATAATTCACAATGACAGTTGCTCTCTGATGCATCTCTTCAGCACTTTGTATCAAATCATGTCTACCTGTTGGATTTCCCCTCTGTCTCAGACGGCGAGTGCTGGGTATGTCTGGAGGCATTGAGGAGCTGGGCAGTGTGAGATGGGAGCTGGCTTTGTGTCTTCTGGCCTGCTGGATGTTCTGCTACTTTAGTATCTGGAAAGGTGTCAGATCTACTGGAAAGGTCCTGTGGAAACATCTTAAATCTTTGTCTATCTGTGGTGCATATAATCATCAGTTACCTTTGTCTTTAACAATTTCCTTTTAATTTAAGGTAGCGTATTTCACAGCCACTTTCCCCTACCTGATCCTCCTGATCCTACTCATCAGAGGCTTGACTCTACCTGGAGCTTGGGACGGCATTTACTACTACCTGTATCCAAACCTGAACCAACTGGCAAACCTTGAGGTGATCTGTTAATTTGGTTCTAGCATTAGAATTACTTCGCTATCATGAAAAAGTAATATAATTTAGAATATGTAATATGTTTTAAGTAATTTCTTTCAAATTAGGAGATGTGATGTCTCAGAACCACATCTTAAATCATAAGCATTCATACCTGAACAGCCACATTAGAATCACGCTGCATCAAGTGGGCATGGTTGTCAAATTGTCTGCTCTGGAAAGTTACACAATTTGTTAGATGTTGTCCTCCCCAATTCCAACATCAGAAAGTGGGTTTCAGGAACTGTTAGGCACTAAGGCCTTAATTTAGATACTTCATTGTATTGGTATTGGTTCACTTGCAGGGAAATGGCTGGCTAGCTGTCGGGGTCCTCCTGATTTATTAACCTTATTTAACAGTATATAATACACCTTTTTTTACATTACAGGTGTGGATAGAAGCAGGATCTCAAATATTTTTCTCCTACAGTCTGACTGCCGGGTTTCTAAATGTCATAGCCAGCTATAATGAGTACAACAACAACTGTTACAAGTATGTATGAATCAAATATCACAACTTTGATACTGGTTTTAGAAAAAGGTTTTGTCAGATTACAGACTAATTAAAATAAAATAAGAAATTTACTTTGCAAGTATCTGTAGGAATGTCCTCTCTCTGACAAGGGTCTGTTGTCTTCCTGTGACCTCCAGGGACTGTTTCTGGCTCTGTCTGCTGAACAGTGGGACCAGTTTTGTTGCTGGATTTGTGGTCTTCTCTGTTCTTGGATTCATGGCTCACAAACAGGGTGTTACTGTCGACAATGTGGCTGAGTCAGGTACAGTATATTCAAAGATTTCATCAAATGCAATGTTTAATTAGTCAATTATCCAATGTTCTAACATGAATAGGTATAACTTTTGATTCTCCTCGTTCACTTCACAGGTCCAGGTTTGGCTTTCATTGTTTACCCTCAGGCAACAGCTATGATGCCTTTGCCACAGTTCTGGACAGTCTGCTTCTTCCTGATGCTTATTCTATTGACTATTGACACACATGTAATAACATCTGTCACATTACTTTTTGACAAATAACAGATGTTTGTCAGACAGAAATCAAATTGTTTGTTGGTTTTATTTTGTCCGCAGTTTGTGATTGTGGAGAGTTTTATCACCACAGTGAGCGATTTGTTTCCAAAATGGTTTCGTGCACCAGTGAGGCACGAGATCTTTGTCCTCATCATCTGTGTATCCAGCTTCCTCATACATCTTACCCTGGTTACTGAGGTGAACACAAATATCTTCATGAAACCTTCTTTATAAAATTTTTCTGTAAAACCATTCATTTAAAACTGCAATTGAACTTGTGTTTTATTCAAATCTTGTCTCTTCCTGCTTCAGGGAGGAATTTACATATTCCAACTCATTGACTTCTACGGCTCTACCAGAGTCTGTCAGAATTTTATGGCTATTTGTGAATGCCTGGCAGTGGGCTGGATTTTTGGTGAGTCAGATTACAAGAGCATCCACTAGTATTTGTCTGTCTCTATGTCAGTTCTCACTTCCTTACCTTGTCTGCCCCAAGCCTGTTGGTTGGTACTGAAGACACAAATCTGTAAAAAAAACTTTCAAAAAGATCCAGTTTAATTTTCAAAAATGGTCAAACTGGAAGAAATATTGCACTTGGGACTATTTTCAGTGGTAGATTAATACAAATTTTGTAAGGAAAATGTAAAATATCAACAGCCTTATTCTTTAATTTTACATTTTGACAACATATAACTGTATCAGGTGCTGACCGCTTTTCTAACATCATTGAGGACATGACAGGACAGAGACCATCTGTTTTTTTCAAACTGTGCTGGAAATACATCATTCCTCTGCTGTCATTGGTGAGTCAGGAAATTTAATTGTGGCTACCAATGATTTTACATTGATTCATTAACTTTGGCAGTTTATTCAGTAAATCTGAGTGAGATTTGTCAAAGAAGTACTGCTGGATTTTGTACTGCTGGATTTGCTGTATTTGTGTGGCTTCAGTAGATTGTAACTTAATGGGCCAGCAAACTCTGACTGTCTGTAAATGTGACTTTTATATTGCCAAACTATGTTTTGCACAATCTACCACAAGTACAGATGATGCAGCTTAATGCATCAATACAATATTGTGTTCATGTTTGACAAAAACCATCTCCACACCCTCACAGATTTCCTTTATCCTCTACCTGGTTGATTACAAACACCTCAAGATTAATGACTGGTACACTTACCCTGACTGGGCTTACGCACTAGGATGGACCATGACACTGTCCTCTGTTCTCATGGTGCCACTGTGGGCAGTTGGACAGATGTGTTTGACAGCAGGGACCCTCAGGCAGGTCAGTGTCCATCTATTAGAGCCTAAACAATATGCTTTAGGAGAGTGGTACCCTGCCTAAGTGACATATTTTATGGGTATTTTTTATATTATATTCGGTGCACAACAGTAACACTGAACAATGAACCCAAAATTTGAGCAGATTATTTCCTGTGAATATTGCACCAGAGATTAGTTTTCCTGGTATTTTTTTATACAATTATCTTCAAATTCTAGAAGAATATCTGCTAGACAAATTCAGTATTATCTTCTCCCTGATGCGTGGGCTTTGTTTTGTCAGCTCTTTAGTTTAACTGCATACTTTTTTAATGCAACAATTTTGTTTTCTTTGCAGAAATTAACAAAATCATTAGTCGAAGTTACACAGAATTTCATAGTCTCCTTTCATATGTTTGCAGATGACACAAATATATATAGCTGTGTCACCAAACCAATACAATTCAAAAGATTGGGACTGGGACAGTGCATTAAACACATTTGTAGTTGGAGAATTTCCTCCAGTTAAATGAGGACTGAAGTTATTATTTTTGGAACCAGTGAAAAAAGGCTTAAAGTCTGTGCTCATCTTAATAGTCAGAAACCTCAGTGTTATCCTGGATTCAGAACTAAATTTCAGTGGTCACATTAGATCCAAAACAAAATCTAAATCTCCCACCTTAAAAATATCACAAGGATCAAAGACTTGATGTCAAAACATGATCTGGAGAAACTAATACAGGCATTTATCTCTAGCAGACTGGGTACCACAATGGACTTTTCACAGGTCAAGTCACTGAATGGTTTAGGTCCAGGATACTTATCAGATCTCCTGACCCAGTACGAACCTTTCAGACCTCTCAGGTCAGCTGGTTCTGGATTCCTGGCTGTTCCCAGAGTCAAAACTAAGCATGGAGAAGTTATCTTTAGTTTCTGTGCTTTTCAAATGTTGAACAAACTGCAAGAAGAACTAAGACTTGAAATAATGCTGACTACTTTAAAATCCAAGCTAAAGACCTACCTGTTTATCGTTGCTTTTAATTAATCTTTAATTAATCAAAATTGTTTGTTAGTTTGTTTTATTGTTTTTATTTTGGGGTTTTAAAAACATCTAAAACGTCTCCTGTAATTGTCCTAATGATTATGATACTATGTAAACGTACTCATTGGTTTGTTCTTGTGCTCCAGCGTTTGTCTGTTCTTTGTTGTCCTGCTGAAGATCTAGCCTGGCAGAGGAGAAAAATGGGAGAGGAGGGAGCAACTGTTGAACTGATGACGTCAGCAGTGACAACTTAGAGTGACCTGCAAAGTCACATTAACTGAACATTACAACTATCATAGTGTATCATCTTATTGTAATCAATGTAGCTCTAGCTGTATGTAGCTGTCATCTTGAGTTAATGGACAACCTGATGAATAATTATAATTCTGCTTTCCAAATCTGCACTTTGGTCTGGGTCTTTACTCACATTTTAAAGTATTGGTTAAACCTACCCACTTAACTTTTTATAGAGTTCACATGCTGGTCTGGTAAAAGCCTTGGATTGGTTCCACTGACCTATGATGGCGAAAGCTTAGTTAAGCACTACATTTTAGGCACTAGACACATTTATCCACAGCCCTTGGATCAGTCCCAGTTTGGAACCATATTTTTACGAGAGCAACAACCTGATATCAACTGCTATATCTGAGTGTATATAAATGAGTCCAGATGGGCCATTCACATATCCCCTCTGTTTAAATTACACATGTTCTTAGTAGCTCAAATTATGATGCAGAGCATCAATATCTGTTTAGAAAGCTGTATCACTGAGTGAATATTGTCCCATTAAAATTAAATGTGCTGATGTGTGATTGCATTTAAATCAAACTACAATAACTGTTCGCATAGACTTCAGTTTAACAAGGTTCTTGTAACAAGGATGCATTACAAGAGGAAGAGCTCCTCAGGGGAAAAAAACATGCAACATCGCACCTGAACACCAGAATGACAGGAATAGCTGCCTTGAGACAAGGATGTAGTTAAATTAAGAAAATGCATGAACATCCGTTTGCTTATACTGTGTATTTAACTGTATTCTTTCAAAATAAGTCAGGATTAGTGACTCTTTAATAAGTCCCCCTGGCTCTTGACAAACAGCAACACCTCCACACTGAAACTGGTTTTGTATTCAAATATAATGTATAGGCTGAGGGCAGGATGAAGTCAAGTCAAGACTCCTAATAAAAGCAGCAGAGATCAGTTCGCAGTACTTTGGAATTATAACCGAAACACAACAGAAAACATAATTGATCTTGAGATGAACAGACAAAGAAGAAAAACAGAAAATCAGAAGGGTGCTGGAGACAGAGGACAGTGGGCCAGTAAAAGAGAATATATTCTGGTTGTTGCAGGAAGTGTAGTCGGCCTGGGCAACGTGTGGAGATTTCCTTACCTCTGCTACAAGAACGGTGGAGGTGAATCGTGCAAATTCTGAATTCAGTAAAGAGCTGATTGTAATGAACGGCAGTGTTATCCTGGATTAAGACCTAAATTTCAGTGGTCACATTAGATCCAAACAAAATCTAAATCTCCCACCTTAAAAATATCGCTATGGTTCTGAATTCCTGACTGTTCCCAGAGTCAAAACTAAGCATGGAGAAGTTATCTTTAGTTTCTGTGGTGTTAAAATGTGGAACAAACTGCAACAAGAACTAAGACTTGAAACAATGCTGACTACTTTCAAAACCAAGCTAAAGACCTACCTGTTTATCATTGCTTTTAATGAATCTTTAATTAGCCTAATCAAAATTGTTTGTTAGTTTGTTTTATTGTTTTTATTTTGGTTTTTTATTTTATTATTGCTTGCTTTCATTGTTTTCATCATTTGTTTCTTGTTTTGTTAGTGCTTTTCCTTGTCAACTTTGTAAAGCATATTGGGTTGCCTTGGGTATGAAATGTGCTATAGCATATAAATACATTTTCCAATTTGCCATCTATGATTCAATATGCTGAATCATAGTTTTTGGTATTGGTCAATCAAAAGGTCCAAAGAATCTAAAAGAATGTCTAAATTGTCTCCTGTAATTGTCCTAATGATTATGATACTATGTAAACGTACTCTGGTTTGTTCCTGTGCTCCAGCATTGGTCCGTTCTTTGTCGTCCTGCTGAAGATCTAGCCTGGCAGAGGAGAAACATTGGAGAGGAGGGAGCAACTGTTGAACTGACGACGTCAGCAGTGACAACTTAGTGTGACCTGCAAAGTCACATTAACTGAACATTACAGCTATCATAGTGTATAATCTTATTGTAATCAATGTAGCTCCAGCTGTATGTAGCTGTCATCTTGATCTCTGGAAAGTTGTGATGGGTGTTTCTCTGTGTTTGTTTTGACATCTTGAGTTAATGGACAATCTGATGAATAATTATAATACTTCTTTCCAAATCTGCACTTTGGTCTGAGATCGATAAGAACCTGTGAGACGAGAAAGCACAAGAACTCCGGGGAAGAAGTGAAGTTAGTAACATGCAATAATGGAACATGAATGAGTGCAGAAAGAGAGAGGAAGAGAGGAGCTCAGTGAACCATGGGAAATCCCCCGATAGTCTAGGCCTATAGCAGCATAACTAAGGGATGGTTCAGGACTCACCTGATCCAGCCCTACCTATAAGCTTTATCAAAGAGGAATGTCTTAAGCCTACTCCTGAATGTGGTGAGGGTGTCTGCCTCCCGAACCACAACTGGAAGCTGGTTCCACAGGAGAGGAGCTTGGTAACTGAAGGCTCTGGCTCCTGTTCTACTTTTAGAGACTATAGGAACCACAAGTAGCCCAGCATTCAGAGAACGTAGTGTTCTAGTGGGGTAATAGGGTACTATGAGCTCTTTAAGATATGAAGGGGCCTGACCATGAAGAGCTTTATAGGTGAGGAGGAGGATTTTAAATTCTATTCTACATTTTACAGGGAGCCAATGCAGAGAAGCTAGTACAGGAGAGATGTGATCTCTTTTTGTAGTTCCTGTCAGTACTCGTGCTGCAGCGTTCTGAATTAATTGGAGCGTTTTAATGGACTTATTGGGGCAACCTGATAATAAAGAGTTGCAGTAATCCAGCCTTGAAGTAACAAATGCATGGATTAGTTTTTCTGCATCTGTCTGTGATAGTATGTGTATAATTTTTGTAATATTACGTAAATGAAAGAAGGCAGTCCTAGAGGTTTGCTTTATGTGGGAGTCAAATGACAAATCCTGATCAAAGATAACTCCAAGATTCCCGACAGTGGTGCTAGAGGCCAAGGTAATGCCATCTAGAGTAACTATATCTTTAGACAGTGTGTCTCTAAGTTTTTTGGGGCCAAGAACAAGAATTTTGTCTTTTTCTGACATCAGAAAATTGCAGCTCATCCAGGATTTTATGTCCTTAAGACATGTTTGTAATTTAGATAATTGATTAATTTCATTGGGTTTGATCGATAGATATAACTGCGTATCATCTGCATAACAGTGAAAGTTAATAGAGTGATTCCTAATAATGTTGCCTAAAGGGAGCATATAGTATTGCATACAAGCATAAAGTAAATAGTATTGGTCCAAGTACAGAACCTTGTGGAACTCCATGACTAACTGTAGTATTTATTGAAGATTCATCGTTAACATGTACAAACTGCGAACGAAATATGTAATGTAATAAATATGACTTAAACCAGCTTAGTGCGGTTCCTTTAATGCCTATTTGATGCTCAGGTCTCTGTAAAAGAATATCATGGTCAATGGTGTCAAATGTAGCACTAAGATCTAATAATACAAGCACAGAGATAAGTCCATTGTCAGAAGCAATCAGAAGGTCATTATTAACTTTAACCGGAGCTGTCTATGTGCTATGATGAACTCTAAATCCTGACTGAAAATCCTCAAATAAACTATTGTTATGTAGAAAGTCACACAACTCTTTGGCAACTACTTTCTCCAGAATCTTAGAGAGGAAGGGGAGGTTAGAGATTGGTCTATAGTTGGCTAAAACCCCTGGGTCAAGAGTGGGCTTTTTAAGAAGGGGTTTAATTAAAGCTACTTTAAAGGACTGTGGTACATATCCTGATAATAAAGAAAGATTAATCATATCCAGTAAAGAAGTGCCAATTAAGGGAACAACTTCTTTAAGCAGCCTAGTTGGGATTGGGTCTAACAGACTGGCTTTGATGAAGAAATGATTGAAGTTAACTGATGAAGATCGATAGCAGAAAAACAGTCTAAATATATATCTAAGTTTACATTAGTAAAAGTCCCTGAACTTGCAGAGCCACTGATAACTGTTGATGGCAGTTGGTGATTAATTTTCTCTCTAATAGTAATAATTTTATTATAGAAGAAGCTCATGAAGTCATTGCTACTTAAGTTTATGGGGATATGTGGCTCAATAGAGCTGTGGCTCTCTGTCAGCCTGGCTACAGTGCTGAAGAGGAACCTAGGGTTATTCTTATTTTCTTCTATAAGTGCTGAGTAATAGGCTCCTCTGGCGTTACGGAGGGCCAGAGGCAAAACTTCTATAAATTTTAAGATTATCTTGCCAAATTGAGCGATATTCTGATAATGTGGAAGAGCGCCATTTCCTTTCAGATTCTCTAGCTATTTGTTTTAACTGGCGGGTTTGGTGGTTGTACCACGGGGCTAGTCTCCTATGGTTTAATAATTTCCTTTTTATAGGAGCGATAGAGTCTAATGTTGATCATAGTGAGCATGCAGCACTATCGACAAGATTATCAATTTCAGAGGGACTAAAGTTATTATAGGTTTCTGTTAAATTCAGACATGGCATTGAATTAAACACTGATGGAATCTCCTCCTTAAATTTAGCTACAGCACTGTCAGATAGACATCTGCTGTAGGAAGTTTTGTCTAATGGCTTATAATCTAATAGTATGAATTATACTGTGTATTTAAATGTATTCTTTCAAAATAAGTCAGGATTAGTGACTCTTTAATAAGTCCCCCTGGCTCTTGACAAACAGCAACACCTCCACACTGAAACTGGTTTTGTATTCAAATATAATGTATAGGATGAGGGTAGTATATAGTCAAGTTAAGAAAAGACACATAATAAAGGAAGAGGAGATCAGTTCGCAGTACTTTGGAATTATAACTGAAACACAACGCATAACATACTTGATCTTGAGATGAACAGACAAAGAATAAAAACAGAAAATCAGAAGATGGCTGGAGACAGAGGACAGTGGGCCAGTAAAACAGAATATATTCTGGTAGTTGCAGGAAATGTGGTTGGTTTGGGCAACGTGTGGAGATTTCCTTACCTCTGCTACAAGAACGGTGGAGGTGAATATTATTAATGTTTCTAGTAGAGTTGTATTATTCTGGATGGTGTGCACCAAAATAAGATTAATATTGATGGTTAGTATGTGAAAAGATATTCCATCTGTGTAATTGTTATACACCTATAGGTGCCTTTCTGGTGCCATATGGTCTGTTAGCTGTGGTGGTTGGGATACCTCTGTTCCTACTGGAGAGTTCAGTTGGTCAGTACACTCAGGAAGGATTCATCACCTGCTGGAGGAAAATGTGTCCACTGGCACAAGGTGAGTTCATGTGTGATGAAATGAAACTCATAGAAAATATTACATGATACTAATATTGACTTGAGAAATTAAAAGATAACTCTACTGATAATTCACAGATAATTTTAAACCATCTCCAGAGATTTAAAAATGTATAACCCTATTTGTCTTTTAGGAATTGGATATGGAAATACTATAATTAAACTGTATGACTTCAGCTACATTATAATTCAAGTCTGGGCTCTCCTCTACCTGGTGTTCTCATTCAGATCCCAGCTCCCCTGGGGCAGTTGTGAGAACACCTGGAACACAGGTAAAGTTACGGCAGCCTACGGAGTTTACTTTAATGTGTAAACCTTGCAAAAAGGTTCTATAATACCATTACAGTATATGCACTTCTGTCCGGGGACCTTCATGTGTTAATGTCTGTAAAGTAATTTTACTATAATCTTTTGTTTATTCTCTCAACCAGTGAACTGTATGGGTCTTCAGATTCAGACAAATCATACCGTGCTGACAAACACCACCTCTGCTGCTACTGAGTTCTGGGAGTGAGTGTAAACACTGGGATCACTTTGTAACACTATGGCAAATGTACAGAAATCATAAATCCTAATTTCTTGTCATATTATGTCTTTCTTTTCTATATCCCCTATCCTCAGACGGCGAGTGCTGGGCATGTCTGGAGGCATTGAGGAGCTGGGCAGTGTGAGATGGGAGCTGGCTTTGTGTCTTCTGGCCAGCTGGATGTTCTGCTACTTCAGTATCTGGAAAGGTGTCAGATCTTCTGGAAAGGTCCTGTGGAAACATTTTAAATCTTTATCTATCGGTGGTGGATATAATCATCAATAAGCTTTGTATTTAACAATTTCCTTTTCATTTAAGGTAGCGTATTTCACAGCCACATTCCCTTACCTGATGCTTCTGATCCTACTTATCAGAGGTTTGACTCTACCTGGAGCTTGGGACGGGATCTACTACTACCTGTATCCAGACCTGAACCGCCTGGCAAACCTTGAGGTGGCCTGTTTACTTGATCCCAAAGTTAAAATTAAAATTTCAAGCACACTGAGGCCTTTATTTAAATAGTTGGCTGGCTCTTGTTTGACCTCCTCCACCTTCTGTTGTGTGATCTCTTCATTATAATCTTTCCATTGTGGGGTTGTCCATTCTGAATCCGACCAGGAGTCCTTCTCCTGATTAGGGCCCTCATTTATCAAGCATCTCAGAATTACTGCTAGAAATCACAGTGAAAGTTCAAGTAGTACAACAAATTCTGTATATAATACAACTTTTTTTTACATTACAGGTCTGGATAGAGGCAGGATCTCAAATATGTTTTTCCTACAGTCTGACTGCAGGGACTCTAAATGTCCTGGGCAGCTATAATGAGTACAACAACAACTGTTACAAGTAAGTAATGTGTAAGTGTGTGTGTATATATATATATATATATATATATATATATATATATATATATATATATTACTTTGTTTCTATAGCATATACATACATACAGTATACATGAAATGCAGCTCAAAGTACTACATAGTGTGGCATTAAAACAATACACAATAAATAAAACACACATTAGGTAAAATTTATATACATATAAATACATCTCAAAGATAGATACTGAAGTCATTGCTAATCCAAGCTAATTGCAAAAATTTGCTCATCCAGTTAAAAGGCGTAACCCTAAGCAACCAAGATCCAAAAGTGTGTTGCAAAAATCCAATAGGCACACACACACACACACACACACACAAACACACACATATATATAATATTATGGATCCGTAGGCACACCCTCTCTCTGATAAGGGTCTGTTGTCTTTCCGTGACCTCCAGGGACTGTTTCTGGCTCTGTCTGCTGAACAGTGGGACCAGTTTTGTTGCTGGATTTGTCGTCTTCTCTGTTCTTGGATTCATGGCTCACGAACAGGGTGTTACTGTCGACACTGTGGCTGAGTCAGGTACAGTATATTCAAAGACTTCATCAAATGCAATGTTTAATTAGTAAATGATCCAAAGTTGAACACAATGCTCTAACACATAGAGGTATAATTTAAGCCTCTCCTCATTCACTTCACAGGTCCAGGTTTGGCCTTCATCGCTTACCCTCAGGCAACAGCTATGATGCCTTTGCCACAGTTCTGGACAGTCTGCTTCTTCCTGATGCTTTTTTTACTGACTGTTGACACACATGTAAGATATTTAGATAAATTACTAATTAAATAATTACCAATGCACTGCTGGTAAAAAATAATGAATTGTTTTCTCATCATCCCGCAGTTTGTGACAGTTGAGTGTTTTATCACCTCAATAAGCGACTTGTTTCCGAAGCTGTTTCGTAAATCTGGAAGACATGAAATCTTTGTCCTTGTCATCTGCTTGTTCTTCTTCCTCATACACCTGATGTTGGTTACTGAGGTGAATAAAACACTTCCATGACAATACATTCAAACAAGTATAGTCACAAAATATAAAAAACCCACATTTAAATCGATTTCTAATATTCAAATCTGGTCTCTACCTGCTGTAGGGAGGGATTTACATATTCCAGCTTATCGATTATTATGGCACGACCAGAGTATGTCATTATTTCATGGCTTTATCCGAGTGTCTGGCTCTGGCCTGGAGTTTTGGTAAGCAAAAAAATGTTTGCATTTATATGCACCATGGTTAGACTAGTTGCATTGCCTGAATATAACCAAACGTTTTATTCTTCCTCTTATTTTAGCAACTATACTCTGTAATAGTAATACAAGAACTTTATATTCCTTTTAAACTGGTCTAACTGGTTGTACATTCTATGAATTTCCATAAGGTGCTGATCGTATTATTAACATCATTGAGGACATGACAGGACACAGACCTTCAGTTTTCTTCAAACTGTGCTGGAAATACATCATTCCTCTGCTGTCACTGGTGAGTCAGAAAGGTTTTGAAATGTAGTTATATTATACTCTAATAACAAGACTAAAAGTCTACAGCCAAACTAGCAGCACTGTACATGGGCAGAGCGGTGCTGGGAGCTAATTGTTAACACATCATATTTTCCTTTAGCGATTGATGGTAGATGAAAGGTTAAAGAATCACCAAAGATAATTAATTTACCATTTGATAGGCGCTAGAGGAAAAGGTCAGTAGGGTTCATCTTCTGAGGACCATAAATATCAAATTCAATTCTTGTTCAGATGTTTCAGGATGATCCAAAATGGTGGACCAACTAACTGCCATTGCTATACCACACTGCACATTTGTGCAGAATAATTAAATTAGAAAGGGTTTCTGTACTTGTACATTTTGTAAGCTCAACATTTTTTTTATTATACTTACTGAACCTTCAGACTTCCTTCATGCTGTACCTGGTTGATTACAAACACCTCAAGATTAATGACTGGTACACTTACCCTGACTGGGCTTACGCACTAGGATGGACCATGACACTCTCCTCTGTTCTCATGGTGCCACTGTGGGCAGCTGGACAGATGTGTTTGACAGCAGGGACCTTCAGACAGGTCAGTGTCCATCTGTTACAGCATAAATAATATACTTCTTGTTTTTGGTATTGGTCAATCAACAGGTCCAAAGAGTCTAAAAGACGGTCTAAAATGTCTCCTGTAATTGTCCTAATGATTATGATACTATGTAAACGTACTCATTGGTTTGTTCCTGTGCTCCAGCGTTTGTCTGTTCTTTGTTGTCCTGCTGAAGATCTAGCCTGGCAGAGGAGAAACATTGGAGAGGAGGGAGCAACTGTTGAACTGACGACGTCAGCAGTGACAACTTAGTGTGACCTGCAAAGTCATATTAACTGAACAGTACAGCAATCATAGTGTATAATCTTATTGTAATCAATGTAGCTCTAGCTGTATGTAGCTGTCAACTTGATCTCTGGAAAGTTGTGATGGGTGTTTCTCTGTGTTTGTTTTGACATATTGACTTAATGGGCAATCTGATGAATAATTATAATACTTCTTTCGAAATCTGCACTTTGGTCTGGGTCTTTATTTACTAAATTACTACTCACATTCTGAAGTATGGGTTGAACCTACCCACTGGACTATTTATAGAGTTCACATGTTGGTCTGAAACAAGGCTTGGATTGTTAAAATTAAAATGTATGTTCTTAATATCTGTTTAGAAAGCTGTGTCACTGAGTGAATATGGTCCCATTAAAATAAAATGTGCTAATTATTGATTTCATTTAAATACAACTGAATTAACTGTTTGAGTAGACTTTAGTTTAACAGGGTTCTTGTTACAAGGATATATTTGCACCATAATAAAGCTTATGAAAACAATGTGATAAGATACAAATGTAATTTCTGGGAGAGAGGGTTGTATAAGAGGAACAAAATGGCTTTTCAAGAGCTCCTCAGGGTTAAAACCCAACATCACACCTAAACACCAGAATGAAAGGACTTGCTGGGTTCAGACCAGGATGTAGTGACATTAAGAAAAGACACATAATTAAATCAACAAAGATCAGTTTGCTTCTACTGTGTATTTAAATGTATTCTTTCAAATTAAGTCAGGATTAGTGACTCTTTAATAAGTCCCCAGGCTCTTGATAAACAGCAAAGTAGACGCCTCCACGCTGGAACTTGTTTCATATTTCAGGATAGTTTATAGGCTGAGGGCAGGATGAAGTCAAATTAAGAAAATACACATAATAAAAGCAGCAGAGATCAGTTTGCAGCACTTTGGAATTATAACTGAAACACAACAGAGAACATACTTGATCTTGAGATGAACAGGCAAAGACAAAAAACAGAAAATCAGAAGAGTGCTGGAGACAGAGGACAGTGGGCCAGTAAAAGAGAATATGTTCTGGTTATGTCAGGAAATGTAGTCGGTCTGGGCAACGTGTGGAGATTCCCTTACCTCTGCTACAAGAACGGTGGAGGTGAATATTATAAACTCTCGTTTTAGTGAATGAGTTGCATTATTAACGGTGTAGGGCACTGAAAGAAATATTGATGATTGGAGAAAGAATATCACTGAACTAATCTGTTATTGTCACGGGCAAATATGTTCCTAATATCTATAGGTGCCTTTCTGGTGCCGTATGGTCTGCTAGCTGTGGTGTGTGGGATACCTCTGTTCCTACTGGAGGCTTCAGTAGGTCAGTACACTCAGGAAGGATTCATCACGTCTTGGAGGAAAATGTGTCCATTGATGCAAGGTGAGTTGATCTGAGGTTGCACTAAAATGGGCAATCAACAGGAGGAAAAAAACTGTTTAGACCAAAAGAAGAAAGTAGAATTTTCTCCAAAAATGATTCAACTTGTTTTGCACCTCAAGAGGAGCCTTTTTAAAACCGTGGTCTGTATTTCTCCTGTAGGAATTGGATTTGGACAACTGATAATGTCACTGTGTTGCTTCAGCTATATTTTAATTGAAGCGTGGGCTCTCGTCTACCTGGTGTTCTCATTCAGATCCCAGCTCCCCTGGGCCAGCTGTGAGAACACCTGGAACACAGGTAAGTTTAAACTTTGGTTTTTGACGATCTTGGTCACTCAACCCGATAAGCCACCAGGTTGTCGGGTTAACACATAAATACACATACTCTCTCAATGAAAGCTTTGTTTGTTTCCTAACCTAGCTGACTGTCTTGGTCTTGAGACTTTCAATGTGACAGCAGTTCAGACCAACATCACCTCTGCTGCAACTGAGTTTTGGGAGTGAGTACTTTTTTTTTTCTTCTAATAAACCAAAATATATGTAAATGTTTGTGTCACTATTTCACTTTTGATGGATTTATGTTTTTCATGCAATTTTTGAAATGATTTGTGTTTTTCACTTGTTCTGGTTCTTAAAACACTTTAAAGTTTAAACTTTCTAAATGTTGGTGTACTTAGAACAAGAACATGAAATGCTCAAGGACTCTATCTAGTGATGGGCGATAACTATTGGTTTAAATTCACAATGTCAAAAGGTAGTAGCATTCTGATGCAACTTTGCAAAATGGAATGACAGCTTTGACTTCAGTTTTTTCATGGACTGAATCAGAAGTCTTTGGACAGAATGCAGAGACATTTGTTTCATAAACTAATATTAAAGGAATATCTAAAACAATTGTTTACTCATACTAAAATAAATGATGTATTTAAGATAAGCATAGAAACATGTAAAATTGAAAAATTAGCAACAGCAGTTGGTAGGCAACTGGTTCAAATGTGGTTTACTGTATATCGTCAATAAGTAAATTGGGTGATGTTACTACATATTACTCTGTGCCTCTACCAATTGGAACCTACCATGTCCCTCTTCGGCACTTTGTGTCAAATCACGTCTACCCATTGGATTTCCCCTCTGTCTTAGACGGCGAGTGCTGGGCATGTCTGGAGGCATTGAAGATCTGGGCAGTGTGAGATGGGAGCTGGCATTGTGTCTTCTGGCCAGCTGGATGTTCTGCTACTTCAGTATCTGGAAAGGTGTCAGGTCCTCTGGAAAGGTCCTGTGGAAACATTTAAAATCTTTTCTATCTGTGGTGCACATAATCATCAATGACCTTTGTCTTTAACATTTTCATTTAAGGTAGCGTATTTCACAGCCACGTTCCCCTACGCGATCCTGCTGATCCTACTCATTAGAGGTTTGACTCTACCTGGAGCTTGGGAAGGGATCTACTACTACCTGTATCCAGACCTGAACGACCTGGCAAACCTTGAGGTGATCTGTTTACTTGATCCTAAAGTTAGAGTTAGAGTTTTAAGCACAGTGAGGCCTTAATTTAAATAGTTGGCTGGCTCTTTTTTGACCTCCTCCACCTTCTGTTGTGGGATCTTTACATCATAGTCCTTTCATTGTTGGGTCGTCCATTCTGAATCTGATCTGGAGTCCTCCTGATTAGGGCCCCTATTTATCAAGCGTCTCAGAATTACTGCTAGGATTCACAGTGAAAGTTAAACTAGGACTCATAATTCAGTATATAATACACCTTTACTTACATTACAGGTCTGGATAGAGGCAGGATCTCAAATATTTTTCTCCTGCAGTCTGACTGCAGGGACTCTAAATGTCCTGGGCAGCTATAATGAGTACAACAACAACTGTTACAAGTACGTATATCTAAGATGTTACAACTTTGATAAGACAATACATATGGTTGGATTTGGAAAAAAGGTTTTGCCAAATTACAGACTAATTAAAAGACAATAAGAAATTTACTTTGCAAGTATCTGTAGGAATATCCTCTCTCTGACAAGGGTCTGTTGTCTTTCTTTGACCTCCAGGGACTGTTTCTGGCTCTGTCTGCTGAACATTGGGACCAGTTTTGTTGCTGGATTTGTTGTCTTCTCTGTTCTTGGATTCATGGCTCAAAAACAGGGTGTTACTGTCGACAATGTGGCTGAGTCAGGTACAGTATATTCAAAGACTTCATCAAATGCAATGTTTAATTAGTAAATGATCCAAAGTTGAACACAATGTTCTAACACATAGAGGTATAATTTAAGCCTCTCCTCGTTCACTTCACAGGTCCAGGTTTGGCCTTCATCGCTTACCCTCAGGCAACAGCTATGATGCCTTTGCCACAGTTCTGGACAGTCTGCTTCTTCCTGATGCTTATTCTACTGACTGTTGACTCACATGTAATAACATCTGTCACATTACTTTTTGACAAATAACAGATGTTTGTCAGACACAAATCAAATTGTTTGTTGGTTTTATTTTGTCCCCAGTTTGCGATTGTGGAGAGTTTTATCACCACAGTGAGTGATTTGTTTCCCAAATGGTTTCGTGCACCAGTGAGGCACGAGATCTTTGTCCTCATCATCTGTGTATCAAGCTTCCTCATACATCTTACCCTGGTTACTGAGGTGAACACAAATATCTTAATGAAACCTTCTTTATAAAGCTTAGATATTGTAACATTTCATTTAAAACTCTAATTCAACTTGTCTTTTTTTCAAATTTCGTCTCGTCCTGCTTCAGGGAGGAATTTACATATTCCAAATCATTGACTTCTACGGCTCTACCAGAGTCTGTCAGAATTTTATGGTTATTTGTGAATGTCTGGCAGTGGGCTGGATTTTTGGTGAGTCAGATTACTTAAAGCATAATGCTGGTCCACTAGTATTCGTCCGTCTCTAAGTCAGTTCTCACTTCCTTACCTTGTCTGCCCCTAGCCTGTTGGTTGGTACTGAAGACACAAATCTTTAAAAAACAATAAATAACTGGAAATTGGACTTCCATCAGGTGCTGACCGCTTTGCTAACATCATTGAGGACATGACAGGACAGAGACCATTCGTTTTCTTCAAACTGTGCTGGAAATACATCATTCCTCTGCTGTCACTGGTGAGTCAGAAAATTTAATTGTGGCTACCAATGATTTTACATTCCTTCATTAACTTTGGCAGTTTATTCAGTAAATCTGAGTGAGATTTGTCAGAGCAGTACTGCTGGATTTTGTGCTGCTGGATTTGCTGCATTATTTGTGTGGCTTCAGTAGATTGTAACTTAATGGGCCAGCAAACTCTGACTGTCTGTAAATGTGCCTTTTATATTGCCAAACTTTGTTTTGCACCATCTACCACAAGTACAGATGATGCAACTTAATTCATCAATACAATATTGTGTTTATGTTTAACAAAAACCATCTGCACACCCTCACAGACTTCCTTTATCCTCTACCTGGTTAATTACAAACACCTCAAGATTAATGACTGGTACACTTACCCTGACTGGGCTTACGCACTAGGATGGACCATGACACTGTCCTCTGTTCTCATGGTGCCACTGTGGGCAGCTGGACAGATGTGTTTGACAGCAGGGACCCTCAGGCAGGTCAGTGTCCATCTGTTAGAGCCTAAACAATATGCTTTAGGAAAGTGGTCCCCAACCTTTCTTCTAAAGGGACCTCTTTTCTATCAATGAGTAAACTGATGAACCCTGCCTAAGTGACATATTTTATGGGTATTTTTTATATTATATTCGGTGCACAACAGTAACACTGAACAATGAACCCAAAATTTGAGCAGA